AAAATAGTTAACTTTGTGCAGGCAACATTTAAATTATGCAAGCTCCACAGACCAGTGGTCCGCAGTGGTCCACACCCAGCTCCCAGCCACCCATCCAACCATCCCCATCCCTGGCTATTCTGGCCTCTCATTTGTGTATGTTAGCTTGTTTGTTTGCCTGTTTGCTAAACGTCTGTCAGGCAGTACAAATGTTTGCATTTGGCATTCAAAAAGTTCATGCAAAGTGAAATTAAGTTGACTCCACAGTGGCTTTAAGGACCCACAAGTATCTAAGCCGCCAGAGAACAGTATCTGTATCCGTATCTGTGGGCTTTTGCCACAGTACTAGGCCATCCTTGGCAAATGCAGCTCATTTAAACACATGTCACAATACTTTCGCACAGCTGTCACTTTGACAATTTTCTAGATGAGTTTCTTTGCGATTTCGTCGCTTCAGCTCACAGCTTCAGCTTTGGCTTCCGCATACCAAGGCCCGAATCGAGGAAAAATGTGAATCTTTAAGCCATCTCGGGCGTCGTCTGGTGAGCTCTGGTGTTCGTCGAAGGTCTGTCAACGTCATCATCCTACTCGTAATATTGCCCCTTCCACGGACATACGGTGGCTGCCACGTCACACGCCGGTTTCTTTAACTTTCAGACGCATAATGAAAACTTATATCACGAGTATTAGAGAAATGGCGAACACATGTGGTCCCGCCTTTTGTAGGATTCCAGATACGATTGCCTAACTCTGGGAAAAGCTTTAAATTGGTCCTTGAAGTTGCTTGTTGAAGGATTTTTAAATAGAGACCATCCTTTTAATTCTTTGATGACTTTCTTGTTGAAACAAAGTTCTCTTCTATCTCATCCACTTTAAAATTGTTACTAAATCTCCTTTGTTATAGTTATAAACTAAGATTCCATAAAAAGCAGATACCACTCCAGTAGATTATCTGTAAAAATTAGTTTTACCAGCCTGGGGCTTAACACGTGTAAGCCCCCGAAAAAGGATCCGCCAAGGACTCTTCCTGCATTAGCGAAATTAAAACCCATGACCGAGGAGTGCACAATTCATGTGCTTCCTATTTATCCTATTCCTTTAGTTGGGTGGCATAAAATTTCATAACAAGAGCTCGTGCCGGAAATGGGAAGGATGCGCTTTGTGGCCTCCCATCCGCCTCCGTATCCGCATCCGCATCCGCATTTAGTGTATCTCCTTGAAGGGAGAGACTGTGTGCTCGTGGTTTCCTAGGAAGTAAATTTCGTTATCGTTTATTATTATTATTATGCGCGATGTGTGAAATGTCTGAGTCCGGCGTCCTGCCACCCACTTGATTCCTTGCCAGTGTCGGTGTTTGTGTTGTGACGTGGGAAATAAATTTATATTCATAACACACAGGACGAAACCAGGACGAAGAGATGAGGTTGGGCGTCTAGGGCGGCCCGACATGCATACAAAGTGCTTTATGTGTGCCACAAGATGCTGAAAGATGGCTTGTAGATGTGGCCCGCTCTTGTAGCATTCCATCAACAGACTCTGGCAAGTTTTTTGATTAAACTCGAGTGCCTCAGCCAGTGGGTTCCTCTTTTTTGGGTCCGTCTCTCCGAGCCCTGGCCGGGAGCTTATTAAAGCCACGTCAAGTGCGTGTAGGAGGCAGAATGCTTCCATAGCATGTGCAACTAATGGGATTAGCGTTGCATCTAAGGATTGGAGGGCAAGAGGAGGGAGAGTCGGACCTCAGAGAGGAGCTCCTTCAATCTCCACATATTGATTACTAATTTACTTGTCGGAGTAGTAGCACACACACTTAACTTTTGCCCTAAAACTTTATACACAGTAGAAGTGGTATAAGAGGTGCATGATGCATTTTCAAATCTTAAAAATTAAAAAAAAAGCCACCAGGATTTAATCTTTACTTGATGTAGGTGACTTAAAGATGTTAGCTTGTTTGGAGGTATTTTATTTACCATTTCTTGTTAAAGAATTAAGACTGTGTCTAGCCACCCTTAACTCACTTCCAGACACAGGAAGATAACTTGATTTGGGGCAGCCAAACTTGGCATTAACATGACGACAACGACAACGAGAACGACGAAAGTTGAAACATGCGTCTAGAACCCCGTCGCTGGACAACTTTACCGTCATCTAAAATGTACAAAGCTCAGGTAGTAGCAGCCCCTAGCAGCAACCCCTGGTCCAAAATCCCCGCCAGCCAGATGCAGTCCAAGTTACACTCAAAGTCATTCATGCACAAAGTCAAACGGCAGTCGAACATCGCAGCACAACAATCAAAAAAGCGTTTCCGAAGTCAAAGACGCTCCAAGGCAACTGGAACTACCGACAAAAAGCCAGTTTTGGGGAATGGAGATGGGCATGGAAATGAGTTTGGTCATTGGCTAGGGATTGGGAATGGACCAAGTGCAGTGCAATAACTTGCCAAACTGACACTATGTCCTTGGGGTCTACTTTTTTCGGGAAGAGTGCGCGAGTTGTATCGATAACAGTTTGTCTATGTCAAGAAAAAAAGGGGTTCCTAGTGCAGGATACTCATGAATTGCAGTTCATCATACATATGTTGCAAAAGAATCCAAGGGATTACAGTCAACAAAAATATTAAAAATATTATATGGATTTTAAAGGATTTGAAAGGGATATATCATCCTACGTTAATTGTCAAAAGCTAAATAAAGTTTATACCATTATTGCTTAATTTTGATAAACATGAGGTCCCAAATTTTTTCCAACTGCCTTTCACTGAGCAAACAATGAGAAATCATGCACAAATCGAGCAAATTGCATATTTCTTATTTCTTACGCTGGCGACTTTTAATTTTTTATGCGATATGCAGTTGAGACTCGAGACTGCAGTCTGCAGTTTCCTTCCGCCGCCGACATTTCCATTCCGATTCGCAAAATTCATTCCCCCGATGGCCAAAGTGAAAAGATGAGGGAAAACCCAACCGCATTGCATTGCATTGGAGGTGGGTTGTCCTGCCCTGCGCTGCCTTTGCCGCTGCCATTTTTTTGTGAGCTATATTTTTTGTACGCTCGTGTGTGACTTGTAAATTTCCCCAGTCGGACTTTCTTTCTCGCTTCAGTCAGAGGCGCTTGATTGAGCTCACGTTTCTCCGGCTTCTCCTGCCACCACATCCTTCTCCCAGGTCTGTGTCCTTCTGCCGTATCCGACTTCGGTTTGACTGTCAGACGACGGAGTGCACACATCGCTTGACTTTTTATTTAAAATATATGAAATGGAGTGCATACTCGAATAAGCCCTAAAATTAAGACCGAAGGCGAGCAAAACTCGTTTTATTTCCCCCGTGTGTGTGCGAGAAGTTTGCCGCAATTTTTGGACGTGGGCCCCGGAATTCCTTGGGCCCCAAATGAGTTTACAAACTTCGACATCATTGTCTTTAATCAAAGAGCATTAAAATGAACATGCGTCGAGCAGGAACCTAATCCTCGCACGAATAGGGATTCGCATCTCCAAAGTCCTGAGTTACATTTTTGCATGTCACACGGCGTATTGCAAAGCATGAGTATGTAAATTTTTTGTTCCCTCACAACGAATATGTATCCCTCATAGGGGTGTTCCCACTGCCATTATACTGTATTAAGTATGGAGTTGATTTCACATGTGAACCACACCCACCAGTCCACGGACCCACCGGCCCCCACTGCCGAGGGTGGCTGATGTGAAAAATGTTGCAAAGATGCAAAACAACTGTTGGCAGTTTGTCAAATTTGATTTGTCATACATCAAATGGCTTTAAAATGACAAGGAGATGTCTGGATGGGAAGCTGACAGCGGGTGTGAAAGCTGTGGGCGGGTTCTTTCCCTTTTTCTATCCATTTGAGGAATACCAAGCTGTCCAAGTGAAAGCTGTCCCCCGCTGGAGGATAGGATTCCATTGCTCATGCTTGTGGTGGAAAATGTCCAGAAAACAAAAGTGTTGATGTGGAAACTTCATTTCAAAGGTGTCCAATATTGAATGATATTTTTGTTGAGTTTCTTTCGCGTCTATTGACCCCATCTCTTGATCAAAATAAAGAGAGCTTCACTCCCTAATAGCCACATCATTAGTCACTTGGCCAACTCCAGATGGGCCAGCTTAAGCAACAAATTGACGCCACTTGAGTTAGTTAAGTGCTCTGCTCGGTGCTATAATATTCTAATATGAATTTAATGCCCTTCATCAAAATTGCAGCCACCTCGGGCTAGGATTTCAGGAAGCAAAGGAGCAGGAGGAACAGGAGGACGAGCTGCCAAAGGCAATGAGCTGGCTGACTTATGAACAACGACCTGGGTAACCGGTGCCAAAGGTACTTGAGGCCAACAAGGCAAGTCAAGGAACAGCTGAAGGACATGGAAATGAAACTCATTTGCTCCAGCTCTCACATCGCTTTGTTGTAGGACACAGAAGGCTCCACAGTTGGTTGCGGCCAGGAGCTGGTCTACATTTGCGGAGCGTGACAAGCAAATTGCCAGGATACACACCTAGCCACCTAGACATAGACAATGGTAGTCCCTTGGCCTCCACTCTGGCCTTTCCTTCACTTCCTGCCTCACTTGGCAGCGCTCGCGTGTTAAATTTCGCCTGGCCAAGGGGCTGGGAGGTAACTAAAAGGACTCCACACAAACACACATTTAGACACTAACACACACACTGATGAACTGGACCAAAAGAGCAGAGGACTGGGATTGCAATTGGCCTGTGCGACCATGACTAATTTGTTAGCAATTATGCTGGATTGACGTCCCGGATTGGGCCACATTAGCATAATTGTTGTTATGAGATCGCCCAGGAGTCCACCGCACCACACCGGCCGGGCCAAGGGGGCAGGGTTACCGGGCTAAAGGGTTGTTCCTACACGGAGTGCACTTGACATTCATTAACATGGCACTCTGAGATACATTAGAGAGTGGTTTGGAACTGGGCAATCAAGTGGGCCAGGGTAAGTGATGGGGACTGAAGCAAAAAATAACAAGGAAGGCCATCCGAATCGAGCTAAACCTAGGCATGTCACTATTTGACCTCAATTAGTTCTCATTAAATTAAGCAGATTTATAGCAAAATAGAGCTGTTCCTGCAGAAGAAGATTTAAGTTATACTTACTTTTTATCGAATCAAGGAGTCTGTGAATAATAAACTTCATGACAAAATACTATGTAAAAAAAAAAACAAGATAAGTTTAATACTTAGTTCCACATAATTTCTTTCTTTTTCAATCTGTCCCCTGGATGATTTAGCAAAATGATTGCGGGCGAAATTCAAAAATACCTCTTGCTCATCAAATGCCATCCGTGCCATTTCAGAAGCCGCCAGGAAGGCGAGCCACCTTCCATTTCATTGCCGGCGGCACCGCTGGCTTCCTAGAGTTAGTCGCTTTCCATCCCCTAAACGTGATCAAAAACAGGATGCAGTTGCAGGGAGACAAGCCGTTCCACGGTGAGATTACCTACCATGGATCCCTGGACGCCATTGCCAAGATGTATCGTTATGAGGGGCTGAGCGCCTTTTTTAAGGGAATCGTGCCGCCGATTTGTGTGGAAACACCGAAGAGGGGTTTTAAGTTCCTGGCCTACGAGGCCATCACGCCACACCTTAAGTTTGGAAGCCCAACACCGACACCACTGACATATGCAATGACAGGAGCACTGGTTGGCGGCCTAGAATCTATCCTCACGAATCCTTTCGAGGTGGTCAAGATCATGCAGCAGGCACACCGGGAAAAGCACTTGGACTCCATGACGGTAGTAAAGTACACGATCCGCAAACAAGGCTTTGGCTTCAAAGGTTTATATCGCGGCTTCAATGCCCTCGTGGCCCGCAATGCCATTTTCAACTTTGGCTATTTTGGAATCTACAACAGTGCCACTCACAGTGGCACCATTCCCGAGGATCCCATCGAGAAGTTCTTATTTAAGTGCTTTCTTGGAATGTTTGCCAGTGGCGTTGGCAGCTTTCTGAGCCTGCCCTTAGACTTGGCAAAATCCCGGATCCAGGGTCCGCAGCCGGTCAAGGGAGAGATCAAGTATCGGACAACTGTTCAAACTCTCAGAACTACGATTCGGGAGGAGGGTGTCCGGGCACTGTTCAAAGGTCTTGCTCCATCATTGGCAAGGGCTGTTCCAGGTGGAGCCCTCCTAATAGTGGCCTATGAATACATTTACGACATACTTATTGAATCATTCGCAGAATAGTTTATTATTACGGACTTTTTATACCAATCTATTAAAATTGTGCAAATTGTTATACGTGTTTAAGTAACAGACATAATAAGAATATTATTCTAGCAAAACTTATTAGTTTTATCAGGAAGGATATAATTTAAATGTTTTATCAATTGACATACCCCTCTTTAAGTCAATTCTTCAATTAAATCCATTTTTGGGCAACAATTAGGCAAATATTTTCTATAGAAACTATTTAAAATCAGTTCAGCAGCAACCGAACCCATGATTGCAGAACTCTGTATACAAATTTTGCCAATAAAGTGTCGACTATCGAAAAATTCGGTTGAATGAGAAACCTCAAATAGTTTTGTTGTGTGTTCAGTTTCAGCTTCCGTTTCCGGTGGGCGGTGTGGCTACCGAGACACACGCCCACAGCGCCCCCAACAAACACAGAAACAGAAACATTCCGAAACACCCAGTCCCAGACCCAGACATGACCGCAGACCGCAGCTCTGCATGTTTTACAATTTACACTTAATTGTTTAGCACGACAACGACACCGACAAGCAGGAGGAAGACCAAAAACACCAAAAACAGTAACTGAAACAGCATCAACAAGACCGACAATTATAAGCCAGCCATAACAACAATTACAATTACACGGAGCACTTACAAGGGGAATTATAATTAATTTATGCCGAGTGTTGGCAAGTGTTTGCTCGGACGCTCTCTAAGTGAGCTACTGGCGGTGTCCTTCCACCTTTCCTTTTTCTGGTCTTATTGTACTCGAGTCTTGCACCTAATTGCGTGGTAATTGAAGAGTCCTGCAGGTTGGCAGAGGAATGGCAATTAAGAGCCATTAAGGTGAAACAAAGTGGAAGCTGCGGCGAAGGGAGCAATGTCCTTATCATATCTAAAATCGAAAGGGCAATTAAGCTGCTTTATTCGCACAAATCAATGATGAATGCCTGGCAATTCGGCACTGGCTGCCATCAATCAAATTTTGGGCATAAACAAGTCGGTATACTAGAACTTTTGAAATTCATAGGCCCAGAGAGAGGGGGTTGACAAATAGAGTTTCATGCTTAATTAGTTTTAATGCGTAATAAGCATATTTCAGCTGAATTAGCCAAAAACATCAACCGTAACTGTAACTGCAATTGCAAAAACAAAAACAGCAACATCAACATCAAACTGTTCAATTGTAATGGCAATTTCGGGCCTTAAAGTATGCAATGCACATTTTCAATTATTCATAGTCGAAATTGCAAATGCGTAATGAAATGAAATCAAAAGCAGAATATCCAATGCACCAGTCGTGCCTAATTCCGTCAACCTCACACAGCCACCCACCACCACCCACTAACCCAACACCCAACCATTCCCAATCATTTTCATTCCCAATGGAGTGGAAATGCCCTTGAGCCGTTTGCCATGTTCATGTCGACGTCATTTTCCATGGTATAGTAATTACACTAATCTATATTTCGAGTGTCCGTGTCTGTGTGTCTCTGCCGTCTGCCTCAGTGTTTGTGTCCCCAGTGTCTGTGTGTGTGTGTGGTGTGTGTATGGGGCTATGTAAATGCATTTGAAATTGACCCTGGAGACATTCTCGTTGCCCAGAAAACCCAAAATGCAACCCAAAATGCATTTATTGTTTTGTTCTCTTGTTGTTTTGCTGTTTGTTTGCTATTTGTTTCTAGGTTTGTTTAATTGTTTGTCAGCTCCAAGTGTTTCTCGGTTGTTGCTGGATTTAGTAGATGGATTTGAATTTATTACAGTTAGATGTTAGGGACTAATCTTTATAAAATAGACATAGAACTAGCTCCATTTAGATTTATAAATAGTAAGACTGATATATTCCTTTCTCTAATAAACCCATTTAAAGTAAACCTCCAATAAATACACAATATTCCCTATCACAATCAATGGCTATACCCAAAATTTGCTTTGAAAATTTTTCAAAAAGTAAATTAAATTAACACAAAAGTGCACAATACAATTTAATTGCTTTGGCCAGTGTTTTGGCCAAATATGTGTAGAGCCTCTGCCATCCGCTCCTTCCACCGGCCATGTCTAGTCAATAAAATATGAATTATTTGAAATATTTAAACGTCCCAAATAAATCAAATGCCAAAACTCGACACCATCACAACGAGAGAAAGCACAATTTACAAGTATTTTTTCAGCTCTAGTCTCGTCGTATTGTGCTGCCTGCCAAATATTTTTTCCAACTGCGGATAATATATATACGGAAAATCTACATTTTTTTTTATGAGGAAACAGCAAAAATTTGTGTTGCTTTTGTGGTTGTCTAAATAAATTTTTTATTGACCATGGTTAACGCTTCAGTGGCCAATAACCAGAGTCAGGGGCAGTACGGATAGGGGGCTTGTGGGGGCATCGGAGAGTGTGAAAAAGCAAAAACCACTGGAGAATGCGAAACGAGGGTGGGTTGGGGGGATGGTGTTCAAAGTTCTGGCTTCCCACATAAACGCCTCAAAGCATGCCACAAGTTATTTTCACAGCACAGCACACACAAAGAAGCCAGTCAGTTGGATGGGTATGAGGATGTGTGTATGTGGGTGTAGGTGGATGTTCATGTGTCTGTGGATGTCTGCCAACGAATAAATGTATGAATGAACGAATGAAATGCTCAAATTACACATGTTATACAATTGTTGGTAGAAAATATGATTATGCTTGAGGGAAAAAGGCCCACAGAACCCAGGACACGCCCTTCCAAATTTCAAATGTTTAAATGTGTGCTCGTTTCAGTTTTGAGAGGTATATCGTTGGTTATTCAAGTTTACAGAGAATTTGAAATACTCTATCCCTTACAATTACAAGCACTTCACGCCAAGGAGTCCTAATTTTTACCAAGAAAATTGTCATTTGTAGCTAATACTTCTCTTTTTTTGTTAGAATTTAATTTCTAGAGCATCACCAATTCGTCTTTAAGCTTTTCCAATGGCATTCCATAAATTCATAACACGTTTTTGGACCACCTTCGCTCGCCTAGCTATCGAATGTTCCGAAGGATTTTATCCTTCTTGACTGGCTTTTATTCTCGTATTTTACGTGTCTCATGTGGCGCTCATTTTCAACTTTAAAGCAGTCACTGGCTGAGGGCGGAGCTCTGAGGGCGGTTGAAAATGAAATGAAATTAATATGAAGTTTGACTTAACGCCTCATAAATCATTGTCCAATTTTCAGACGACAACGACGACCAGGACAGCAGGACACCAGGACACTGAACTGTGGAAGGAGGTCCTGCGTTGGCTTTTCTGTCCTGCTGACGTTGTAACACAAACACACTTAAAATGATTGAAATATATGTAGAGTCGGATATATGCGTAACATGGTACGACATTGCCTCATATATAGTACACATTCCGACTATATATTGGCTGGCTAGCATCCTAGACGAGCCAAGACTGAAGACTTCCTCATTACACGCTTGTCACGTGCACATTTAACGTTCCGTTGCACACACACACTCTCGCACACCGCCATAATTACACGCACACCCAGGCAGAGACACCAACACCGAAACCAAGCCATGACAGTCATTCATATTAATATGGTTGGTCAAAAAAAAAACAAACAAAAGCACAGGAAAATGACTCTTTAGACGCTAGGAAGTCAGGCTTGCATACAAATTTTCTGCACTTTTTTCAGATTCAAAAAAAAATAAAACTTTTTTAAGGACAATCCTTAAATTAAAGTAACATTTTGTCACAGAGTCCTTAAATTTAATCTGGTATATAAAACTCCTAGTCTATGCGTTCTCTCTATTTCTGTCTATTTCCTAACTCTACCAGCAAAGCATGGCAAAGTATTTTTTAATTTGATCAAAAAATTAAAATTAAATATTAGAAAACCTATGCAGAGTGCTGTTTTAATGGAAATATAAAGATTAAATGGAAATATCATAAATTAAATACTTTATGAGTAATTTTAAACACGTATTTGCCTTTTTCTGGCCAATCAAGTTAATCTTCAGCTCCAACTTTTAATTCCATTTCGAAATTTCTGCACAATTTGAAATTGCAGCCGGGCAGCTAGTTCGTGTGTAATTTAATGGCAACTAAACAGACCCAGATCCAGGGCGAGGTCATTAAGCTTGGACTTGAAACACTGACCACATGAGCCGCAACCACAGGACGCCGTCGCCCCACTCAGTAACTGCCACACATCCGCATCCACATTTGGAGATAATTAAACATGCTGCGCACGTGCAACGGCTGCTTTCAACATTTTATGCTCAAGCAAAAATGAAATAAAATGCATGGAGCCCTAGGGGGGATTTGGGATGAGGACGGCGGAGGAGGAGGACATGGAGGCTGAGGTCCTGCCGGCCCATGTCTGGCTCTGTATTCCACAAATTGAACCGCAAGTAGACGTAGCAACTGCTGACCAACAACAACTATTTTATATATATTAATTAAATGGAATTTTACGCGCTAATGAAATAAAATGTGAAAGTCTGTGTCAAGGGAGGTTTAATAAGGATGTGTCTGGCTGGGTGGCTGAGTGTAAGTGTATTTTTGGGGCGGAGCATATGCGATGAAAAAGCAAACCACAATTCAATTTGGCAGGGAAAAAATAAGCTCATGGACTACGTAATTTTAATGATAGTCTGGCTAAAAAGGAGCGTAGTCCTGCGTAGTGGTGGCAGTTCCAAAAGCAGTCACCATGGAACTGAACGTTTATTTTGTTTTAGCCAAGTTCTGTCTGAGCTTCGAGCATGTTTCGTGCCATACAAGTTGGCTCAAACATTCGGTTGCCTCTGTTAAGGACCAAAAGTCAAAAGTAGGCGGTAACTGCCTAATGTAACTGTAACAATAATCATATGTGGCCATTGGTAATTGGATATGTGGGCGAAAATAATTGATGCCAACACCCAGAAATGTTCAACTCTCACGACAGATTCCCCCAGGGCTTTATAATTAAGAAAATCCACATTTATATTTTCCATTAAACTCTCCATTGAGAGTCCTTGAAAGCATCACCAGAGTCACTCAGCCATTTCCGTCGAATCCTTTCCCATCTGCTGTCCATTGGCTGACCCATATCGTGGCAGTTCTGTCAACGTTTTCGGACAAATATTTTGACAGCTGTCACCGAAAGCGAAAGTGACAGGCCAGTGACCCACGCTTCCGGTTGGCCATTGACTTTTCCCAGCACAACTGTACGCTGGCCAAATTGCTTTATCCTCCGACGCATCCTTATAATTGAAAATTAATAGTCGCTAGTTGCTTGTTTATGCATTCCCTGGCCCTTTTTTGCTCCCCATGCCTGTGGTGCATTGCATTGGTTTCCATTTTGTATTTTTCGGTTGCCAGAGAAGCTGTGTATGGATGGGGTATGGTGTGGGTGGCAGCTCTGGCAACCATTCCCGGAGAGTGGACACGCGTTCAGGCAAACAATACCAATTACCAAGCGCGTAACGGCGCGTCACAGGATATGTGCCAGGTTGGAGGATATGAGAGGACGCACTTGTGTGCGGGCGCTTCCTGCCAGCCCTCACATATTCATATAGATATATATGCACATGGGTGTGTGTCAACCACGGTCAATGCAGATGTCTGCATGTGTTTGTTTTTTGCTGTTTGTTCGTTTAACTGACATTCGTCCAGTGTTATTTTTGTCCCTCACCGACCGCCGGACCTACATCACATATCCTTTTTTTTGGTTTTTTATGTTTGCAGTCAGTGCCTGGCCGAGAACCCATTGTACAATTTTAATTGGCGTTTCAGTTATTGAAATGTTGCACCCAGATCGATTTCTATATACACTTTATGAATGGGTATAATGACAAGGGTAAAAAAAAAATAATTTAAATACCTTTAAAATATATATTAAAATCTTATTTTAAAGCACAACTAAATATACTTAGATAAATATCCGTACAATACTTTGAAAAATCATCTCATATTTTTTAAATAAAAGTGCATTTAATCCTCCGTTTTTCAGTCAAATTTTTGTTCTTCTTTTCCAGGATATTAACAGTCAATAATGTCAGGTTTTTGTCGAACATATGCGGCAGCGATTTTTCATTGTCGCCTCCAATAAAATGTTTTTCCCCTCTCTCTCAACCTTAATATTTTAATTTTTTCCTGCATTTCACTTTTAATGTGCTTAAATGCAGAAGCATAAAAACAATAACCTTATGAAGTGATACTTTTGACGAAGTGAATAATAATTTTCAGCTCGAACGATTAAGCTGCAAGACATTAAACTGATTTTGCTACAATATACTTGAAATTCAGACTGCCTCTTTTGAATTGAATAAAATTGTGCTGCCGCTCGCTGTGTTTATCGTTTAAGGTTTTAGTGTTAATAATAATATAAGCAGGCTGAAGAGACTGTAGCCTTGTTGTGTTTTGTTCAGCGATTGTTTGACAATAACAAACACGTCACACTCTAATACCCTGTCCCTGCAAAATCTCTCGCACTTTCTCCCAGCATCTGACAGCTCACGTTGGCGCCTTGGCAAGGATTAAGTCATGCTGCTGTCATGCATAAATTCTGCAAGTTGTGCACCAGGGAATGGAAAGTAGAAATGAAGTGGGGGTTGGGGTGTGTCAGCAGAGAATATATCCTGATTTAATGCACTAAAGGTCTGGCATTGAGTTTCCACCGAGATATTCTACATTGCCCTTAAATTGTTCTTATTTAATCCCAAAACCACTGCACACTTTCCCTAACACCATCATTTTCTAATAAAGTTCCTTTGGTTGACTACAAATTAGCAGCAAATAGGCTAAATATCCTTTTAATGACTTACAAACAAACCATAAGAAAATGGCCAAACTGAAGGCATTTCACTAATCTCTCAACAAAACCACAAGCTTGCGAAGCACCACCCTTTCTTGGCATTTTGTCACAATATGATAAACGTTTTAGGCAAATATTAAAATAATAATATTCAAGTAGTTGCACAGATTTGGTTGCCCAGGAATTTCAGGCAGGATTAAATACATTTTCACTGTTCTAAGAAATTTTCACTTTTCATTTTATGTGTGACACTCATAAATTATGGACACCTTTCTGAGAATATGAATTTGTAAGGACAATTTACATAGTAGCCTAAATACAATAAGTATTTCCTTTCATTTATTCTTGATTTATTGGTTTATATTAAAATGAAAATTTAGGACAAATCGACTTTCTTTTAAAAATATTCTCAAATAAATATGAAAGCTGAAAAATACTTGAACACTTGAAACAATTTATTCAATCTAAAACTATGGACCTATTTATGCAAATTAAATTCAATAATATAGCTTTCCGACTTCAAACTTTGTATTGAAAAGGTAATGGAATTTGAATAATCCATACACAAGTTTTTTTATTCAATAAACACCCTTTTTTATGCAAAATATACAATATTGCTATAGTCTCTTAAATCAGGTCGTTAAATTTTCTATTATCATTATACAAATTGCCTTTTCTTTGATTTACATTCTAAAAATTCACAAAGCATCAAGCCCACACCGCAGAAATTGTGAAAAAATGTTCAAATTTAATACATATTTAATTTGCCACATTTGTTCGTCCAAAGCCACCAAATAACTGTCAGGCTGCTTTTCGTGCCAAATTACAATAATAATGAAAACTGCAAAGAAAAATGAACGAAAAAATGGAAACTAACAATGTGAAATTGAATAAAAATGACCAAAGAATAATAATAATAAAAAAAAAAACTGTATTAACCACGAATTACAAATCAATTTAAATGCGCCAAACTTTTTTAGAATGAAGCCAAACAATGAAACTTCTCGTTATTCTATTTCCTCGAAAGAAGCGAAAACTTTTAATTCAATTCCTGTCTCAGGCATGTCAATGAGCTTGGGATTCGAGGATGGAGGAAACTTAATGGGCCTCTTTTGGCCTCTTGAATGCAACATTTTTGGGTCGTTGTGGATGGAAATTTGTTTAGTAAATTAAAAGTACTTAAAGTGCAAGTCAAGATCCCAGTTTCAGGCTCTGTCTTAGTCCCAGACCCGGTCTCAACTAAACCAATCCCCTCGATTGCGTTGTCTTTGGTCCCCCAACCCATCTCTGGCATTATGTATTCTTTTTTAAAACATGCAAAATCACGTCTATGCATCTTAATAACTTTTCGTGCTTGTGCAAACAATGCGAACGTGAAAGTTGAATAGGTTTGGCTTAGTTATCAGAGGGTTCCTGTCTACGTTTTGGGTGGCAGGGGGAAAATCTGAGGTCGGGACCAAGGTGGGGTTTGGTCTATGGTCTTTCAATGCATAAATCAAATGTACATATTGTAGTTGAAGTTAAACTTAATTTAGTTTTTGGGAGTTTCCAACTAGTTTTCGGTCCGGGTGGGGGATTGGAAGACATGGAAACTATACAAATGGGGATGGTTTTAAAGATTAAATGGGAGTTGCTTTGATTTTTGCAGTTTGGTTTTCTTCTAGATGGGTTTCTTCTTATTCTCGTTAGATACAAATTCTGATATAATAAAATGTAGTTTAAAGTTAAAATAAATATTGATACCAATTTATTGTACTCTTCTTCATAATATCTTATAATTTTTTCTAAATATTTTTCCCATCAAAGTCTCCACTAAAATGGCGAGACTCTTCACCGTTTGGATGTCAAATTCATAATAGTAACTTTTGTTTAGCAAACACATCCATTCCCATTTCACATTCCACTCACTCTCATACACGAAACAATTGAATCGAAAAGAAACCAATCAGTCAAAAAGGGGGATTCCCCATGCAACCCACCGGATGCTGCAAAAAAGCCCACAAAAAAACAAAGTTACAACAATACAAAAATTAATTGATGGCGAGCACACACACACACACACTGGCACAGATGACGCACCAACACTAATTGGCAGCAACAACAATAACTACAATATGCCAACATGTGGCAAAGGCCACCAAGTTTGATAACGGTATAGCAGGAGACGATGGGCGTTAGGGAGTGTTGCACGGGCTATGGTTATGAAACATCCAAAACGAGCCTGTAGAAGGGTTTGGCTGAGAGTGAACATGGCCAAATCGATGCAGACATAGACGGGCAACAATCAATCAATTAAATGCCTCACTGCAGCTACCAAAAACAGCAAAAACAAAAACTATAACAACAACTTCAACAACCAGAGGACGTCGGATAATGTTCGGCATGCAAAAGTGTTGCAGCCTTTTAGGCAGTCGGGCAACAATATTAAAGATTTATGCTTGTTTCTCGAACTCATTCCGATTCCGACTGATTCAGGTTCTCTTTGCGATATTTTGTCCATTTAAGTGACAGGTTGAAGAGTTTGTAGAGTTCCCCCGATGACTTATGCAGTCGAAACTTTATGGAAACAGAGATGAATCAGAGAGCACTATTATCGGTTGACTTGCAAAGCTGAGACCAGATTAACTGGCCGAAAACACTAGGAAACATCAAATATCTATGGTTTTTGTAAAAGCTTTTATGTTCCATAAGCAGTCTAGCCAGGAGTAATAAAGGTAAAGAGTTAAGCTACCAAAATAAACCTGAAACCCATAAAATGTAATCGAAAAACGATTATACCCTTGTGAAATTTTTCCAAAAACGTGAACCTCCGGGAAGCCCAAGCAGCTAATCTAATCGAAAATGTGATAAGAACCGCCTGAATTTAGTTCAATAATTTATTAAAAGAGTTGTATAGGTTTTTGTCCTTAGCTCATCATTATAAATAGTTACATTCTAGGCGTAGATCTTGGCCAAAACGAGGCCCACAATGCTGGCTGCAATAGTAATGCTGCTGCTACTCATTTTTCCGGCCGGGTTCTTGTTGCACTTGTTGCCCGAGCAGATGTTACACCAAGTCTTATTGTAGTGGGCATAAGCGGGTTTCAGGGAAAGACTACAAGGTGCCACTGCGGGGTGTACGCAACCATGAAGCTGATGGATCACTTCGTTGTCTATTAAGAAAATGTAACATTTTTAGGGTAAATCTTGGCAAAATATTTCCCTATAAATAACTCACTCCACGTATACTTGATGGCAAGACAGTCGAACCTCGTGCTGGTCGCATTTCTTACTCCCTGATGGTAGACTCCCAAATTATCGGAGGTCTTATTTGCTTCTGCATTGTTGCAGGTGACTTTCGAGGGACTTTTGCAGTCCTTGGGAGTGACGCAGGTATAGCAGACCAGAGAATTGGCTATAAAAGAGTAAATAAATAAGTTAAACATTTTACAAGATAGTATTTATTGTCCCAGTGACTCACCATACTGTACAAAAACAAAGGCAATCAGCACGCCGGCTATGGCAAGTTTCGCATTCATTTTGAAAGAATTTTAAAAGTTTAAAGTACTGCCACGATCTTAGCCACAAGTGTATTCTTAGTAAACTAATCGGTGTTAAAAATTGTACTGCGTTTTTATACACCACTTCTCGCACCTTACTCAATTTTTGAGGGAGAACTGAGAAGCGATAAGCTTGAGTAAATATATAAAGATTAGTTTATCTCGAGTACTATACGCCGCCCAAGAAGCTAACTGAAAAGTGTTTCAATATGGGGAATTCAAAGGGATTTCCCTTACGGTTTCAATTCAGAAAATTTAGGTGTGCCAATTTTATTATATTTTTTATGGTAGGTTATACTAGGTACCTACACCTTATAAGAAATGGTACTTCCTTTTTTTGTAAGGCGTGAGTATTGGCTGGTACCGCTTGGTAACCATAGAGTTAGCTCTCTCAGATCTCTCTCTGTGTTTTCGTTCCAGGTATTATCTTTAGCTCTGGCTCTTTTAGTCACCGACTAACAAAGTCACAGATGGCTCAATTCTTATCAGCTCCCAACCGATATGCTAAGTACTATATAGCCATAAAACTATATATTGGGTCACTCGAATGGTAGCCATTGAAAAGGGGAAGTTTTTGGGTAAATTGATTTGCAAGCTTTCATGAGATTTCATATTCAATTTGAAGCCAATAATGCCCGAAACTAAATTATATTTGCATTAACACGTCTGGATCTTATAAGATTATTTGTTTAAAAAAAAATTACAAAAGGGTAAAGAGCAGGAAAAAATTACTAAAGCTTAATAACCAGTCACTACTGTTTTCATAGAATTCTTCAAACTCTTGAAGACAATAAATGATTAATGCCTTCAAGTTAAAAATAACCATAAATGAAAAAATGTAGACGTCGAATAAATATCTTAAAGTGCCTTAAAATAAAAACCAAAACTCTTTTGGGCAAAAATTTATTCAATTCAATAAATATTACAAATGTCATGTATTCTTAAATACGGTATTTGACTTTTAATGACTTATGGCCTTGGCCAGGAGCAAGGCAATCACTGATCCGACGATGGTAAAGAGACTTCCACTGAAGGTTCCGGCCGGATTGCAGTAGTCGGTGTTGCAAGTATTGCAACGTCTAGCCCAAGTGCCCTGCTGTGTTGAATTCGACAAAGTCAGGGTGCAGACATTAGTGCCAGGATGGACACAGCCCAAGAACTCAGATGTGTGAGAGTTGTCTGCGTAGAGTTTGGGGAAATGGGTTATTAAATACTTGTTGCTGGGCAGACATCGGTTAAGATCTTACTCGCTTGGTGGTAGTATGTAAGATTGGCGCAGAGGAAGCTCAAGCTGCCATTGACGGTGGGCACATTGCTGTGGTAGGTCCCCAAAAAGTCCTTGTTGGCATTAGCGGTGGCATTAGTGCAGGTCTGTGTGGAAGGACTGCGGCAAGCCGAGGGACTGTTGCAACTGTAGCAGCTTAGGGAACTGGCTGTTAGGGTGACATATTCCATTAGCGATGAATCGATGTCGAATTTTGGTCAATTCTCTTACCGAGCTGCACGCCCAGAAAGGCCACAAGGACAACAGCGAAGGTCACTTTCTTCCACATTTTGATCGAGGTTTTTTTAGTTGTTTTCGCGACTATTGCCAAAGAGAAATTAATGCGATTGCAATCGAGAGCCACATTTTGTAGCCGGCTATTTGCCGATAAATGAAGTATATTTTATGCCCCCTTATAAAGATTAGATTATGATATCTATACGCTTTATCCCCGTTTGAGTCAGGGAACCACTTTGATGGACTGAGTAAACCCCCAGGTATTTATGAGGACTTTTACATTGGTTCTAGTCTTTGGAGTTTATTTTCACAGGTTTTAGGTCAAACATTAACGATTGAATTCCATTGATAATCAATCAATAAATTATAGAAAATAAGTATGTCTTTTAATACTAGCAAGAATCATAAATATATCCTCGATTAAATTTCGGTTAATCAAAATTTAATTCGGAATCATTTCATTAATGAAAAATATTTTATAAGGAAGCTGTTGTGTTATTTTTTTTATACATTTTGTGACCTTAATCTTTTTTACATTTGTATATAACTAAACTGTCCCCCAATCTAAACCAAGAATAAACTTCGGAGAATCATGTCTTTTTTTGGAAAAAAAACTGTAACTAAATTAAAAAGGGACTTGCTGTAGGTGAAATTGAAAATCATACATCATAATCGTGGCCAGTGGCCAGGACATGCCACGAATATTTAAGTAGCTACCATAACAACAGGAATGTTAAGCCGATGTCAAATATGCGTGAGGGAATATTACAAATGACAGGACAAATGACTGAGTGCAGTGGAAAAGGAGCAGGGCAAGTCCAAGGTACAAGAGCACTCCAATCTGCTGGAAGAAGAAAGACATACCAGGCATCGCCTGCGGTTGAGATTTTAAAAATACGTGTATCTGTGTGTCCAAAAAGGTAAACAACAGAATTACAATATGCTTTCTTAAAAATTACAAAAAAAAGGAAGCCAAACAGGACGAAACAACTAGAAGCGAGCTTTTTTTCTGACAGGACAATAAGCAAGGATAAGCATCGAAATGATGACGATGTTGATGATGATGGCGGTAGTGGGAACGAGAGCGACGGCGGGGTATTGCGGAAAGTGGCTAAGAGCGCTGGCAAGACATATACAAACACAAACGTAGATACAGATATGCGACAGGCGACAACGATAGCAAAAGTCGACGAGTCTGACAGTTACATTTTAGTCCTGTTGCGACTCCTGTTTGTCTACTTTTCCCGCTTTTCCCGTTTGTTTTTCAGGTTTTTTTTTTGCCTTTTTTGGTTCCGCTTCTTGCAGGACCTGGCCACATTCCCGCATGCACATTGCACTCATATTCCGGTCACGTATCCTTTTTAATCCTGACAAGAATATTATTTCCATAAAAACGCACACACTCACACAGATAGGACGAGCTATGGCAACATCCCGGCAGATCAAGTATACGCCCCATAGGCGCCACCTAACTGAGTCATAGACAAACCGGAATGGACCCAAAGCAGATGTATTTAATTTTTCTATTACATGAGTTTGGGACTTGAAACATTTCCTCCTAAAAATATTTAAATGTTAAGACTTATACTATTTTTATTTTAATATTTACCAACTTTAGAAACTTCAATACTTTTTTTTTACCAAAAAGTCTTATAAACAAGGATTGACAAGATTTTGTATGCCATTGACAATATTTGTTGTACACATTACAAATTACAGAAGCTGGAAAACAATTTATTACAACTCCTTGTTGTTGAGCCAGCTGGACACACACAAGGACACATTAGTGTATCCTCACAGACAGGACTGGCTAAGAGAACAACAATGTAGACTGCAATGCAAACAAATCGACAAACTATAATAATAAGACAGTCCCCTGACATGCCAGCAGATAAAATTAGAGACAAAAATGGGGATACAGAGTGCGAAGGACGGGGGTTACAGGACTCGACTCATTGCATTGTCTGCAGCAGCTGCAAAAACTTTCAACATCAATGAAAGGAAACAAACAAATTTTACATTTTCTATGTCTCGGTGGCTCCAATGAAACAGCAATGGAGAAAAAAATGGAAGCAACATGGGTGAAAAACAAGAGGGGAGTAGTCCAGTGAGAAAAACAATAACAAAGCAGCTTAAGTACTGCCACAAGTCGTTAGTCGAGGTCGCCACTTCTCGAAGAGGAGCTCAGCCACTTTAAAGGGAAACAGAAAGGCTCTCGTCTTTGGCTGAAATATAATAAACATGTTTATATTTAATCCAAATCCAAATGGGAACCAAATCAATATGGTGTTTTCTCCTATATGGCCCACTGTGATGGCTATATCTTCCCCAATCCTGTTCCGATTCTCAAGCGGAGTACCTTAAACCATTTCTGGATTGATTTGCCATCATTCTGCATCAAAATCCTGAGACAAAATATTTTTTAGATTTGTTGTCCATTTTTCCTGAGGATCCCCTGAAAATGGGGTTTTCTCCTATATGGCCCACTGTGATGGCTATATCTTCCCCAATCCTGTTCCGATTCTCAAGCGGAGTACCTTAAACCATTTCTGGATTGATTTGCCATCATTCTGCATCAAAATCCTGAGACAAAATATTTTTCAGATTTTTTGTCCATTTTTCCTGAGGATCCCCTGAAAATGGGGTTTTCCCCTATATGGGCCACAGTGATGGCTGTATCTTCCCCAATTCTCATCCGATTCTCAAGCGGAGTACCTTAAACGATTTCTGGATTCATTTGCCATCATTCTGCATCAAAATCCTGAGACAAAATATTTTTTAGATTTTTTGTCCATTTTTCCTGAGGATCCCCTGAAAATGGGGTTTTCCCCTATATGGGCCACAGTGATGGCTGTATCTTCCCCAATTCTCATCCGATTCTCAAGCGGAGTACCTTAAACGATTTCTGGATTGATTTGCCATCATTCTGCATCAAAATCCTGAGACAAAATATTTTTTCAGATTTTTTGTCCATTTTTCCTGAGGATCCCCTGAAAATGGGGTTTTCCCCTATATGGGCCACAGTGATGGCTGTATCTTCCCCAATTCTCATCCGATTCTCAAGCGGAGTACCTTAAACGATTTCTGGATTGATTTGCTACCATTCTGCATCAAAATCCTGAGACAAAATATTTTTTAGATTTTTTGTCCATTTTTCCTGAGGATCCCCTGAAAATGGGGTTTTGCCCTATATGGGCCACAGTGATGGCTGTATCTTCCCCAATTCTCATCCGATTCTCAAGCGGAGTACCTTAAACGATTTCTGGATTGATTTGCCATCATTCTGCATCAAAATCCTGAGACAAAATATTTTTTAGATTTTTTGTCCATTTTTCCTGAGGATCCCCTGAAAATGGGGTTTTCCCCTATATGGGCCACAGTGATGGCTGTATCTTCCCCAATTCTCATCCGATTCTCAAGTTTTTCAGGAGTACCTTAAACGATTTCTGGATTGATTTGCCATCATTCTGCATCAAAATCCTGAGACAAAATATTTTTTAGATTTTTTGTCCATTTTTCCTGAGGATCCCCTGAAAATGGGGTTTTCCCCTATATGGGCCACAGTGATGGCTGTATCTTCCCCAATTCTCATCCGATTCTCAAGCGGAGTACCTTAAACGATTTCTGGATTGATTTGCCATCATTCTGCATCAAAATCCTGAGACAAAATATTTTTTAGATTTTTTGTCCATTTTTCCTGAGGATCCCCTGAAAATGGGGTTTTCCCCTATATGGGCCACAGTGATGGCTGTATCTTCCCCAATTCTCATCCGATTCTCAAGCGGAGTACCTTAAACGATTTCTGGATTGATTTGCCATCATTCTGCATCAAAATCCTGAGACAAAATATTTTTTAGATTTTTTGTCCATTTTTCCTGAGGATCCCCTGAAAATGGGGTTTTCCCCTATATGGGCCACAGTGATGGCTGTATCTTCCCCAATTCTCATCCGATTCTCAAGCGGAGTACCTTAAACGATTTCTGGATTGATTTGCTACCATTCTGCATCAAAATCCTGAGACAAAATATTTTTTAGATTTTTTGTCCATTTTTCCTGAGGATCCCCTGAAAATGGGGTTTTGCCCTATATGGGCCACAGTGATGGCTGTATCTTCCCCAATTCTCATCCGATTCTCAAGCGGAGTACCTTAAACGATTTCTGGATTGATTTGCCATCATTCTGCATCAAAATCCTGAGACAAAATATTTTTTAGATTTTTTGTCCATTTTTCCTGAGGATCCCCTGAAAATGGGGTTTTCCCTTTATGGGCCACAGTGATGGCTGTATCTTCCCAAATTCTCATCCGATTCTCAAGCGGAGTACCTTAAACGATTTCTGGATTGATTTGCCATCATTCTGCATCAAAATCCTGAGACAAAATATTTTTTAGATTTTTTGTCCATTTTTCCTGAGGATCCCCTGAAAATGGGGTTTTCCCCTATATGGGCCACAGTGATGGCTGTATCTTCCCCAATTCTCATCCGATTCATAAGCGGAGTACCTTAAACGATTTCTGGATTGATTTGCCATCATTCTGCATCAAAATCCTGAGACAAAATTTAGTATTTTTTCATTGATTTTCGTTTTAAATCCTGAGAAAACATTTTTTGATTTTTTGATGGGATCCCCTGAAAATGGGGTTTTCCCCTATATGGGCCACAGTGATGGCTATATCTTCCCCAATCCTTTTAAGATATCTTCTATATAGTGACCCATATTTCAAGCACTTACTACCAAATTCAAAGAAAAATTGGACTTGATAACCCCTCTCCACATAACCGTTCAATTTGCACTTCATGTCCTTCCTTTGTTGACTTCTCGTCCGTGTTTTTTCCGCAATGCTCCTTGCTGTTAACAAGTTCACGTGCAAAATTGCAATGACCCAAAGGACAAGGCGTTCGCACTTACACACAGTGGCACACCTTGTGGGCAATTTTCCACCCCATCGACCAACCGACCGACCACCTGATCCTCCCCCTGTTAGCACCTGTGGTTGCACTACCGAGTCCTTTGACAACCTCAAACGGCGGATGGAAAACAGTCGAACGAGAGACGTGGCAATGGTTACCAAGTAAGTCGTCAGGAATGCCAGGACTCGCAGCAATATCCAGCATTTAATCAACAATTAGTGCGACCAGGAAAAAGTCACTGGGAAAGCGGAGAATACAGATTCCAATACATAGTGAGGAGGAAACCATCAATGGTTGATGGTGAGACACTCGAAACTGAAACTTATGACCCACATGGCCACTTCAACCCAATCAATTCACTTTACCTAAGCCAACATTGTCTTTCCTGTTCTTGTGAACTTTTATTTGCCTTCGGGCCAATCATTAAGTAAATTTGCTCTTCGTCTCCGTCTGCAGTTATTGATATGATATGTGGTCAGCCCTACCCCTGCCCGACTGTGCCAATATTTGGCTTTAAGGTTTTTCTGGGTCAATTGCTCCAGTTTGGGGAAGATGAATGGTCCAGCAGAGGAGCAGCTGCAGCAGGACAAGTACTTGATTGAATCGGTTACAAAAATAGTAGAAATTGGTACCATCTTCAAAAGACTAGGTTTAAAAAATTGCTAAATAAAATTATTAAAAATATTGGTAGCTGAAACTATGATACAATTTTACTTGTAATATTTAAGATTTTGGTTTAATTTTATTCGTTTTTAAAGCCACCGACGAGTATTTAAAATATATTTAATTATAAATGAGTTTTAAAATATATCTTCTTCTCAAATACCACTGACCGAGGCGATCCAATCCCTTACTGACGCCACACGTGAGTAGACACCCGGATAATTTGGCCTGGCGCACCCGTAACCCCAGGAAACTACGCCCCACAATACTCCATCGGCGGCCAGCGGACCACCAGAGTCACCCTGACAGGCATCCTTGCCACCTTCGGGCAGTCCAGCGCACAGCATGCGATCCGTGATTTTACCAAAGCTTCCATACGCATCCGTGCACTCCAGTTGGCTCACTTTTGGCACTGTGACTGCCCTCAGTACGGCCGAGGACTCCAGGGCATTCTGGGTGTTGCCCCACCCCGACACCAGAGTGGGAGTGCCATCCGCAATGTCGGCATCCTGCTCGGGCAGTCCCACAAAGGCCTGCGTAACATTCGCGGCACTGTACTCCTGCAGCTCCAGTAGCGAAAAGTCAAAGTCGATGGTGTAGGCATCGAATTTGGGATGCCTGTGAACGCGCTTGATGCCCACCAGGATGCCGCCATCAGCAGTGCGCGAGGAGCCAATCCGTACCTGGGAGAACTCGATGGCAGAGCCCTGGGTGCAGTGAGCGGCGGTGAGAACCCAGCCCTGGGCAATCAGGCTGCCGCCACAGAAGTGGTAGCTCCGCTGAAGAGAAACCTGGTAGGGTATATCCTTGATGTTGGCCTCCAGGCCGCCCACAATGCGTCCATCTAGGCGGGGTCGTCGCGCCGGACTGGCAAATGTCAGAGTTGTGAGCGCAAGGAGCAGCAACCCGAGGAGTGCAAAATTAGTTCCAGTCATGTCTTCAGCTGTGGGGATCGATCGATAGTGAGTGGTGCTTGTGCAATCCGATCCCGTCTTTATATAGAGCCCGCCGTTTGGCAACTATCTGCACTTTCAGGGTCAATCCCTGCACAACAGTCGCCTCACCTCCATATCCACTTGGCCTAGTTCTACGAGACGCCACTCACGCTCAATAAAACTAAATTTATTGCCACCAAATAAACGATGTCAACGATGCTATCAGACGTTATCTAAGAGGGCTAATCAATCAAGGGAGCTTTCGGTCTAGTGCACTATTTTATAACTTAAGCCAGGTCAGAAATTTGTTGTTCGACGGCATATCCACGATTTTCTCCAACTGCATCCCGTTTTCCTGGGCCAGCACCTTCAGATCTTTGATATCCCGGACGCCCCATGAGGGATCTCTTCCCCGCAGGCTCCGGTCGAAGTCCACGTTGCTCTGGGGCGTCAGGATGCCATCCTGCGCATAGGGACCGTAGGTGAACATTCTGCCTCCCCGCTTCAGTAGCTGCCCGGCAGCTCGGAAGAGTCCCACGGAGCACTCCCAGGGGCTGATGTGCATCATATTGGAGTTGAAAAAGTAGTCGTAGCTTGCTGGGGCAGGTGGTCCCTCCCACTCCTTAGGATCCCGGGTAACGTCCACGTAGAAGGGCAATCGAATGTTGCCGGTGGCGCAGTCTCCGGCATATGCGGAAATGGAATCAAACTGCGACCTTTCGAATTCCGTCGGTTGGAAGCTAATATTGGGCAACAGTGGAGCCAGGTATCCGGCGTGCTGCCCAGATCCCGAGGCAATCTCAAGGAGCTTCAAGTCCTTTTTCTGCCGATCCACCTGGGCCAGAAGAGCCTCGGAAATCGGCTGGGAATTACGATCCGCGGAAGGGTGGGTTCTCTTGGCGTAGCTGCAAAGAAGGGAAATGTGCAGGAGTCGCTTGGTCAGGCTTGGTTTGTGTATTATTATTTTAAAATCAAAATATATAAAGGATAGCAGAATGTTTACCTCATTTTGTTGTTTTGGTGGGTCCTTGCTCGATATACCAGGATTCGACTGTTAAGCCTAGTACTGAGTTGACGAAAATCCGCTCTTGAAATTCCGCTTGCGAAATTGCACTTTATTCGGCTGCCGAGGTAGTGTGACCAAAACAATGAAGAAATAAGGTAATACTGAACAGCTGTTGTTTGTAAACAAAAAACAAATAAGCAAAAATGAATTCAAAACGATTGGATGTTGGTGTTTTGTTTATGTATTTCGCCGCTAAGGAGCTGATTAAGAAATAGAAAACTGGGTCAAAATCAAAATCCAAATCAATCACAAATCATTTCAATGCCATTTTATGGCATTAAAATGCCCCTTCGGGACGGCCAAATAAATCTTCCCCAATTTCCTGGATAGAAGTAACTTAATACAAAAAAAAAAAAAAAAAAATGCCCCTTGTGGGTCAAATCTCATATTATGGGCTTCGTTTTGACCGCAGAAATTCATTTTAATTTGTCCTGGCGCGCCGAAAATTTTTCGGGCCGACTATTTTTTTGTTTGGTCAATTGACCCTCCATGTCGCTCCTATACAAATAATTTGAACTATTTATTTTACCTCCCCGAGAGCAGCTGTTTATTTTTTTTGATCCGGCAACACCATTAAAATCGATAACAAAAATTTTCGTCAACTCAGTACCCGCAAAATCTAGAAGGCAAAAATTTCTTCTTCTTTCCTTTTTTCCACCGTTTTTTTTATATGGAGTTTGACAGCTGTCACTCGTTGGACAGCGGATTTTCGTCAACTCAGTACTAGGCTTTATTTAAAATTCTGTTGGCCAACACTGGCACCCAGCTGGAGAAAAAAATACCAAATAAAATATGCCTGGCATATCTGTTATCGATAGTTCTGATAAAGAGCGCTATCGATACTGCTATTGACCGTTTTCCAGCTCTATTGCTAAATCTCAAGCGCTGAATTTTTCGCAAAAAATAGTAATTACGTATATTCCGTATCACAGAGCATCACAATGTCCGATAACGATGACGACTTTATGTGCGACGACGATGAGGATTATGGTTTGGTATGAGCAAGGCATATTCTTCTTGTATTTCCCAGAGAACAACCACCTAATGCCGGCTTCTTTGTTTTCATTTTGCGGTGAATAGGAGTACTCTGAGGACAGCAACTCGGAGCCCGATGTGGACCTGGAGAACCAGTACTACAACAGCAAGGCCCTGAAGGAGGAGGAACCGAAGGCGGCACTGGCCAGTTTCCAGAAGGTCCTTGACTTGGAGAACGGCGAGAAGGGCGAGTGGGGCTTCAAGGCGCTGAAGCAGATGATCAAGATCAACTTTAGGCTGGTAAGAGTCCCTTAATAGTCATATTTGGAAACCTTTATCCATTCTCTATCGTCTAGAACAACTACGATGAGATGATGGTGCGCTACAAGCAGCTGCTCACCTACATCAAGAGCGCTGTGACCCGAAACCACTCGGAGAAGAGCATCAACTCCATACTGGATTACATATCCACGTCGAAGAATGTGAGTGAAGGCAATTGTACTTCTGCAATTGCTTCAAGGGTGATAAAACAGGACCCAATCCTGCAAAGGTTTAAATCTCAATAAATCCTAACCATTTCCTATTTTTCAGATGGCTCTTCTCCAGAACTTTTACGAGACCACCTTGGACGCCTTACGGGATGCCAAAAACGACCGTCTGTGGTTCAAGACCAACACTAAGCTGGGCAAGCTATACTTCGACCGCAGTGACTTCACCAAGCTCCAGAAGATACTCAAGCAGCTGCACCAGAGCTGCCAGACGGATGACGGCGAAGACGATCTCAAGAAGGGCACACAGCTGCTGGAGATTTACGCCCTGGAGATCCAGATGTACACAGTGCAGAAGAACAACAAGAAGCTAAAGGCTCTCTACGAACAGTCTCTGCACATCAAGTCGGCCATTCCACATCCCCTGATCATGGGCGTGATCCGGGAGTGCGGGGGTAAAATGCATTTGCGGGAGGGCGAGTTCGAAAAAGCACACACGGATTTCTTCGAAGCTTTCAAAAACTACGATGAAAGCGGTTCACCCAGGAGAACCACTTGCTTGAAGTACTTGGTTCTGGCTAATATGTAAGTGAAGCTATAGTTTGAATCCTTGCTCGGAAATTAAAATACTTCTCACTTCTTTGCAGGTTAATGAAGTCCGGCATCAATCCCTTCGACTCACAAGAAGCCAAGCCATATAAGAACGATCCTGAAATCCTGGCGATGACCAATCTGGTGAACTCCTACCAAAACAATGACATTAATGAGTTCGAAACGATTTTACGCCAGCACCGCAGCAACATAATGGCTGACCAGTTCATTCGGGAGCACATCGAGGATCTTTTGCGCAACATTCGCACCCAAGTGCTTATCAAGCTGATCAGGCCATACAAAAACATAGCTATACCTTTCATTGCGAATGCCTTGAATATCGAACCGACTGAAGTGGAGAGTCTACTGGTGTCCTGCATCTTAGACGAGTGAGTAGAGAATGCGAATATATATAGAAAAGATTATACTAAAATTTATTCTATAACCAGCACCATTAAGGGACGCATTGATCAGGTGAATCAGGTACTCCAGCTGGACAAGATCAACAGCAGTGCTTCGCGTTATAATGCCCTGGAGAAATGGTCCAACCAAATCCAATCGCTGCAGTTTGCCGTGGTTCAGAAAATGGCCTAATTGGCCTTCAATTCATTAAAATTCTAGAATTTATATTTAATCGATTAAGCTAATTGTTTGGAAGCTGTGTCACGGGCTGGTTGTTCTTCCACTTGATTTTTGGTGCAGCATTTGACCATGGAGATGCGCACCCTGTAGATGCCGAAGGCCACAAAAGCAAAGCAACAGACGAGGGCCAAGCTAGCACACACAAATCCAATGGCCAATCCGGGACGGGCCCAGTCCAGGGCAAAATAGATGAATCGATTGCCATCTCTGAGGGTTAAATTAAGAATATAGGTTGGAGAATAATGAAAGCTTAGATTAACTTACATGTCAGTACCCCCCGCGAAGTAGTAGATCAAAGAATGTATCAGGAATATAATAACCACCGAGAAGGGATAAATAAAGAACATGATGCGAGCTGGAAAGGCCACCATGAAGCAGTCGAAGATCATGCAAATGGAATTGAAGGCATGCGACCACAAGTTGTACAAGTCAGTGGCTTCTTCAGGCATAGCTGAAAGACAAGAGGGATAATGGTACAAATTCTGTATAACTTATAAGATATATATAACACTTACTACTGGCCAGAGCTGCCCAGAATACCAAAGAAATCAGCATGGATAGGACAGACGTTGTATAGTGAGAGATCCAGTAAACCTTAAGAGCTCGACTGCCAGGAGCTGGAGAGGATAACCATTTTCAAGGGCTATCTTTCAACATTCTCGACATTCTTTCTTACCAAAATATGAGGGTTTTATGTAGTAAATAGTCGCCACAACAGCCCCATAGGTGCACGTAAAGAAATCCAGGGAAAATCCCCAATCCGTGAGGTAAATGAACCAACGACCACCGTTGAAAATTTTAAACATGCTCCAAATCACACCAGTTCCAAAGAATGCAGCCAGAAACCATCGGTACAGGATCCAGATTATATTCCGATCGCCCTTTTGCCACTGGGAGCGGCAAAAGATGCCAGGATCCTCGAAGTCCAGTGAGAACTTGGAGCGCTGGAATTCCTCCTTTAATGGCAGGCAACAGGATTCCTGGGTTTTATCCCCCATTTGGACTCTGGTTCGTCGTAGGGCTAGTATAAGAAATTCCAAAACAGGTGACTGCCTTGCTGGTTGATTACCGACTGATGGAGGCACAGGTGTCCAATACTCTAAATACCAGGCCGCATTCCCACATATAGTTTCGGCTTGAGTTTAGGTAATCGGTGGGGGTAATGGACGCCGCCTGAATTATCTCGATTCTTATCATCCTGGTGAGTAGCGTTTATGTCTGATTCGTGGGCCAGGGCCCACCCCCGATAAGACCCCCAACGTGGCCATGGATTTGTGTTTAGACGCGCGGTCAGGGCGGTCAAACCTATCGCCAGAAAGTCTCAAAGTTCAGGACCTAGACCACCGTGAACCGCATATGGTGGAGTCCCGCTCATAGAGATTATAATTTGAAGCACTTTTGCTCATTGGATTTCCCGAATGCTGAAAGTACAACCATAAAAGTTCAAGTGTATCGGATGATTTTAAGTGGAATGGAATCAGAAGCGAATTCAGAAGATAGCAGCTAATCATAATAGAAATAGAAATCATGTTAAACTACACTGGAAATAAATATGCGGTGGTTCTTTAGATATATTTTCATAAATTTATATATCTCATTTTATTTAAACACTTTTTTGTGGCAGGTCCAGCAGTTAATAAAATTATATAAATAATTATTTAAAATATAACATATCTTCCATTTCAATATGAAGGATGAGTACAACATTAAGTTTGGCCAACAATACAAGATGGTATATACATAATATATATTCACATTCCACCTTTCAAAACCAGAGGAAATCTAAAAGCCCTCAATGACTAAGTCAGGATTTAAAAAAAAGTGCCTAACCCTTATCCCTTAAACCGTTTGGGCTGGTTCCTTTGGTGGTTCTGAGGTGGCTGGAATTTCTTCGGGCTGTTTGAAACAGCATTTGTGCATCGCAATACGCCATCTATAGAAGCCAAAGACCAAGATGCAGAAAGCAAAGGCCAAAGCCACGCACCCGCAGACACTTCCTATGGCCAGGCCAGGACGCTCCCAATCCAAAATGAAGTATATGAAGCGGTTGCCCATGCTGTTGAAAGTAGGCATTGGTTAATATATGCATCTTAGATTTAAATTTTTATATATCTTACGGATCCACACCACCAGCCCAGAAGTAGATCAAAGAGAAAAGTCCGTAGGAAATGCCAATGGTGAAAGGGTAAACAAAATGCATGATTCGAGTGGGAAATGCCACCATAAAACAGTCGAAGATCATGCATATCGAGTTAAAGGCATGAGCCCATAGGTTGTAGAGCTCGGCTCCCATTCCAGGCATGGCTAGAAAAAAATATATAGTTTTCAACTTAATATATTTAATATTAAAGTACCAAAACTTACAAGGATAAAGAGCAGCCCAGAAGACTAGAGTTATCAACATTCCAAGGACGACAGTTGTATAATGGGATATCCAATAGATTCTCAAAGCCCAACTGCCAGGAGCTGAAAATAATAAATTTTTAGTTAGGAAATTCTATGAAACACTAAGACTTTAGCAACTACGTCAATCCCTAACTTTCCGATTATAAAATTACTCAATACCTCAACACCCCCTGATAAGAATTACTCACCGAAGTAGGAGGGTTTGATGAAGTATATGGTGGCTATCACAGCGCCATAAGTGCAGCAGTAGAAGCACAGACTGAAGCCCCAATCCGTGAGGTAAATGAACCACCGCCCGCCGTTGAAGGACGAGACCATGCTGCCAATCACTCCACCGGCAAAGAAACCAGCCAGGATCCATCGGTACAGGAGCCAAATCAGATTCCTGTCTCCCCTCTGCCACTGGGAGCGACAGAAGGCGCCAGGATCATCGTAGTACAAAGAGAACTTCGACCGCTGGAACTCCTCCTTGAGAGGCAGACAGCAGGGCTCCTGGCTCTTGTCACGCATGTTGGCCGGATGGACTCGTCGACGGTTTCGCTGGACTAGGATGGCCAAAAGCGTCCAGAAGAGGTGACTGGAGCGCCGGTAGATCGCAGACTGGCGGAACAATGTGGCGCAGGTGGCCAATAGTCTGAATGGTGGGCCATTTTTACCGCAAATCGTTTCGGCTCGAGTCGGGCTAATAGAAATGTGAATGATACGACCGGTGGAGTTATCTCAATCCTTATCACCCGAACGAGTACCGTTTATGCCTAATTGCTCTGAGCGTACGCCTTCGATAATGCCAAAAACTCGGACGTGAATGTGGCCAAGTGCGGTCAGAGCAATAGACTAAATTGAACCCCTCATACGGAGGTCGTGACTGGGACTTTTCCCATGGCGTTAATATCCCAATGGGGATATATATATTGGGTGGAACTCTACCAGTAATCAATGGCCCTGAATTTTTAAACTTTTTTTGGGAATTTCGCACATGTTAGTTGGATCGTAAACCTATTGATAACCACTCGTGTTTCTCAAGTGACGGCGGTTTTTCCTGTGACAGGCCAAGTGCTGCCAAACCCACTCCCCTCAGACCCAGACGAGATAAGAAAGCGTCGAAAACAATTCTGATTCATTCTATTTTCTAAAAACGGATTTTTGAAATACCCTTTCTTAAAACTATGCTATATCTTTTTAAGTTCAGACCTTAATAAAAGTATTTCTTTATTTCATACTAGTGATGAGTTTTTTAAAATGTATTGTCTTTTGATATTATTTTTGAAAAAAAAGCACCCTTTTCTAAAAAATGAAGCCCCCTTTAATAGTAATATATTCTACCTTTCAATCAAACTCATTTGGCTAATTTATCAGCTTTGGTATCATTGTGTGTTCCAAGTGGTTACCAGGTGATTGGCGTTGTTTCCTCTTTTGATATGACATTTTGAAAATATATGGAACTCGATCTTTGTGGATTTCAAGTATTGCGGAGCTTTTTCAGCTAAGGGATTGTTGGCCAAGACCATGAATCATGAATTATCTGAAAATCTAAATAAAGCTAACAGTTTATTTCAACGTGAGCTTTAATAGGATACAGGGTGTTTTGAATGTATTTCTCTTGATAATCGTTCACCTGAAAGCCCGTTCACCTTTGTAAACTTTTTGTAAACAATCTCTGTTATCAAATACACATTAAGATTAAGTTCACATTCTCCATTTACGGGAAATGTTTACTATCTCGAATATCTCTGATAAACATCAGTTTCCCACCAAGTCACGAGAAGCGTCCATTTGAAAGCGATTTAATATTGACATTAAATTACCAAGGCAAATTTAATTTATGCAATAAGAGAGTCAAACTCAATTGATTTTCCTCGTTATCGGTACAGAATGTGCCGACGACACTTTCGGTTTCTTAGTCTCTTGACCAATGGCAAGGTCAGGTGGTAGGGTAATGAACCTGTAACCCTCTCGATCAGATGATATATGATTGGGGCACGACTCTGGGACTGACAATTGGATATGGAGAGTGGGTATGCAAATTCTGTTGGAATGTCAATATGTAATCGATGCTGGGTGTTTACTTGATGGGTAAATTGATCCAATTTCCATTACAAAATTATGGTAGTGGAAAAGTGAAATTGACGTATCGTTTCGTTCTATTCCAACAGGGTATCAAATAAGCAAAAATACAAAAATAATTACTAGCAATTATTGTTCCTTCTTTATATACTTATAATGAAGCTTATTTTATACAGTGAATATCCAGTTTTATAAATGCTTAAAAAAAACCGAGTAATGTAAAAAACCTTGAACCAGTCTCGAAAAAGGTATCATGCCTGTTTAACAAAAGTTTTCATATTTAAAATATTGTTAATTTTATAGTACTATAAGTGGTCTTAAATTATTTTTAACTTTTTAATTTTCATTCATTTTGGTTATCACTGAAATCTTAAGCAAACTAATTAAGATTTAAGTGCTGAAAACTAATCAAAATATAATTTGCTTTTTTTTGAGAACGTAATAGCTCTCTCTTCAATGGATTAGATAAGGGGCAACTTTTACCCACTTGTCTGGTTATCTACCGAAAGTATTTGTGCCATAGAAGGAACATGTAGGTCAGCCAGAATTTCAATCGTCAAGTGCTGCACGACAATTCCAGCATTTTTGGCGTTTTTTGGGCGTTACTGTGAATAGTGATCTCTTAATTAGCCGACCTCTGGGGCTTCAAGTTCATTGATGTAATCAATAGTGACACAGCAGTGTGTGTGTGGCACGGCTGTCAATATCATTGATGTAGTAGCGACCGAAAAGAATGGCATTTTATTCCCACGAACGACAGGGCGTCAAGTGCTCTACATTTTTAATTGAATTTTGTGATGATATTTCGCGTATAAAGCCTGATATGTCCATGGTCGCTTTTCCCATTTCCCGTTAGGCATCCGATGTGCTTGGGGATCGTCTGCCGACTGCCATAATCGACCGATCACTGAGTTCCGATCGAGTAGCGATTGAATCCGCCAGTCAGTTCGTTGAGCGGAGTGATCAAGTGCGCGTGCCGACCGGAGGAGACACCCAGCACCCCATAAAGCTAAACCTTTTCAAGATCACAGCTCCGGCTCACCTGGCTCCTTCTTTCTCCACTAGTGGCTGCTCTTTACTCTCTCCTTTACTGTCTTCGTACCGCATACCGCTTTCGGGGCTCGTGTGAGTCATAAACATAACCATAACTCAGAAACCCCGGTGGAGTTAAGCGAAAAAAGGTTTTCGACGTTCAGTTGCCGGCTATACGCGACTCACGTCGGAGGTCTCCCCTCCTCGCAGTCTGAAAACCAACAAAAAAAAATACCCTAAACTTCCTGTCCGCGATAAAAGTGTGTGCGCGAGAGTAAATAAATAAATTTTATAAAATAAAAATAAATAATAAAAAATATATGAAACCATGCAAATATTCGAGGACTTCTGCAAAAGCTTCAACAAGGAATTGCAACGAGCGAATTTCGGCTTCTCATACAATCGCGTTCATTTGTTCTATAGATCACAGGTGAGGTGTTTTCCCTGTAAGTCTTGTTCAAACATACGAACCAGACCTTATCGGCGGTGTAACGGCTCCGGTAAACATTGTGGACGTTGGAAGTTGTAATTGTTAGTGTGAGATCATTTTCGTAAGAGACCTTAGCACGTGTTTGTCCGGTACACCCAAGTGTTATAACCGCTTAACTCAAACTTACAATTTAACTAACTTTTAATTGCTGACACTAAAGGTTTCTAATGGTTGCGTCAAACTACGTACATACATTCACCAGACAATAGGTTTTCAAAATAAATGCCAAATAAAAAATAATTGATATAGGAATGCCAGTCTTAGAAGTCTGGTGTGAGCTGGGGAACTGCTGAGAACCCAAATGAACTCGAATGAACTCAAATTAGTTCACACCAAGTCTTCCAGTCGGACCATTAAAAATGCAGCATAATGAGGAAAGTGGCGTGTATTCCGAAATTCGAGTACACGAAATACCATACAGAATTTAGTTTTATGATGAGAAAGAAGAGCACACGTATGCAATGCTAATTAATTCGAATTTAATTAGCGTGGCCCAACTAAAAGCTGAGTAAACACTCATGAAGCTACTCCCAGGTATCGGCAGATGTAGGATTCTAAACAAACATCAATATTTAGTTCAAGAGCTACAGCAAGGTAAAGATTTTTAGCCCACAAAGTTAGAAGAGCTTTATGAATGAAAACATTTAGACTAATGTGATTAGTTTGATTTTCACAAAAAAAAGTCTAAAATGGCCTTGTGTACAACAGTTCACACCCATGATTTCACGCAAAATAACTTTTAAGCAGATAACAAGTAACAGCTTTTAATCAGACGCTATCTAGACTCCAACTTAGATAAAAATAATTTACTCTTCATTGTGATTGTCGAAAAGCCAACCAAATAAAAATGTAATGTTTCTGTTCTAATCCAAAACATAATGATTCACATTTAACGAAAAATACCCCAACTGATTCAGCAATAAATTTCTCGCTAAACAAATCAGAGGAGGAACCAGAAAATAGCTTTTGGCGATGGCCATAAATTTCCGGACGCACCTTATCAGTCGGCGAAAAACATGCCCATAAATACCCATCGAGGGCGTACTAATCTAGGCAGTGAAATAATTTCGTTTCCGCAAAATTGTAAGTTCAAATCAAACTAATTTGATTATTATTGCACGCGCGTAAACAGAGACTTTGATTCGAAGGCAAAACAAGTCGGACAGGCCCTAATTCTGGCTACGTCATTGAGTGATAAGCGTGCTTCGTGATAGGAGATGTCATAAATATTTAGTATTTATTTGCACTAATTAAACTATAGGTGTGGAATATTTAAATTGAAATTCTGTTACGTAAGACAGCGAAAGATAGTGCGCCCTTGCCGGCGATAAGAACTTGTAGGAATATCCCTGTTACCGTCAATTAATTCATCCACAACAATGTCTGCGTAAGATTAGGCTTCTGATAATTGAAAAACAAATTACGCTTTATTTTAAAAGTTATATGAGGTCGTAAACTATCAATGTTAAGAAGTACTTAATCTTTTTTTTAATCTCCCTCCAGTGGCAAAAGGAGGAAACCAACATAATATACCTTTTATACCGATGGATATGGGCCTTGTTCTTTCTGGCGGTGTACATCACCTGCATAGTTGTCCAGTTCTGCGATGGAAAGTTCTTTATCTACATGACCAACTGGGGATTCGGGCTCTGTACCGTCACGATGCTGATTTCAGCCGTGCAGGTCACTTGCTGGCACTATGATCTGAAAAACACGCGGAGCCTGGTACAGGAATCTGGAAACAAGGCCAAAACGACCAAGGGACTGAAGATATATTGGTGGCTCTACAATATGACTCTTTCCTTGGCGCTAATCATTTCAACAGTGTACTGGGTGTTCCTCCATGGCAAGATGAGTAAGTAGAGCAAAGTTTTATAAATTATTAAAGACAATAATACTTATTCCAATTATTTTCCAGACAAACCTACACGCTTTCCTACCATCAGCATCATCACCCATGGACTGAACTCTCTGATGATGCTGATCGACTTCCTGGTGGTTGCATTTCCGCTCAGGATATTGCACATGATCTACGGGATGAGTCTGGCGATATTCTTCTTCATTTTCACCCTCATATACCATTTATGTGGTGGCACAGATGAGTGAGTATATAGACAGCCCGCATTTTTCGCAAACTAATCTTCATTTACTTACCGCAGATTCGGCAATCATTATGTGTATCCCATTCTGGATTGGAATAATCCCCAGCGATGCCTGGTGACCTTTGTGGGGATCTTCATTCTGATTCTCTGCTACTGGCTGCTGCTCTTCGGACTGTACAAGCTGAAGAGGATGTTCAATAGGGCCTTCAGTGTGGTCTGGACTCCCCATGCCGTGGGCCTCATATAAGGGATAGAATAGACATATACACCTCATTAGACCCCACACATACATACATAGGTTGCATTATCGTAGATATGCGAGACACTTTTACATTCCATCCGGCATTCAAGCATTCACACACGCATGCATTTATTTATGTCTAGCGTTTTCTATTGTTAAGTTTTAATATTCTGGTTCCTTAACGTTGAATTGGTTTAGTTAGGTTAATAAATAAACAAAGATTTTGTTGCACAAATATGAATAATAAATATGAAATTAGTTAGAAGACCCGCAACGCGATATTATAAGATTATGTGGGATGCATTGTAAGAATTATGGAAGTTAATAAAAAAAAATACATACCAAAAAAGTGTATAAGGCTGAAAATATTTTCTAAAAACTATTTTATTTATTTTTGAGCTGAATTTAAGAGATCTAATGTTGCGCTATTAAGATCGAAGATATTAGTATCTTATAGATTTTATAGTATCTTATAGTATTATAGTATCTTATAGATAGAAGATATTTGTATCTTATAGATGACTGAGTTCATTGACACCAGAAATTGTTTTGCAGATTTGTACTTCTATAACCCAGTTCGTAGACTTTTGTGTTTTTTCAATGACATTGTGAGTTAGCAGTTTCTTTGTAAATGTTGTAATTGGAACACAAGGCCTGTTTTTTAAAGGGAACGAGTGGTATCAAGAACCCTAGATAGTAGTTATGAAATTTTCTCATTAAAAGGTTGCCAAATACCAAGACAAACTGTACCTCTTAGCCATTAGCCAAAAACTTCTACAAACATTGGCCAAAAAACAATAAAAATAAATAAAAGAAAATCAAAAAGCACACCAAGATAAACGAGTAATTAAGCTCGAACGTAGAAACAACAGACCCGAAGCATCCGTCGTGTGTTTTATACGTTTTTATCGTTCTGCCAATTTCGGAGAGCGAACTGGCCTCTCATTCGCACACAAAACCCACACATATCCAGGTGCAAACACACCTGGCTACCTGGCGTCTGCGCTTACGATATTCGATCTCCCTACGATATTAAACTCCACCATGCCAAAGATACACAAGCCACGATCAGTAGTGCGACGGGCTTTGCCTTGTAAAGTCGTGATTTAATATTCTCTTAATTTTTACATCCACAGTGCGTGTATCTCTGGGATTGTGTCGTTGTTGTATCTGAAGTTCTGGTGCATTGACGCGTGAATGTAGTGTGTTGTTGTCGTCGGTTGGTGTAATACCTCTTGTAAAATGAAAATGCATGGCACAGCCAACAAACAAACAACTCGAAAATGACTAGATACCGTTATGCAAAGTTGTTGCCGTAGTTGTTTCTATTGCTATTGCCGTTGCCGTTGCTGTGGTGACCCAAATAAAAGCCAAGCCAAGTCAAGCCGAGCCAAGCTGGCCAAAATAATAATAAAAGACAATTCAGTCAGCCCAGCCAAGCCAGGCTTCAAATTTGCACAAGAAATTGCAGAAAAGACCAAAATACTTGTGCAAATTTTAACAGAAAAAAAATGTTAAAAAAAAGTTCTATCGTCTTAGTTTATTAATAGAATAGTGTTAAATACATTGCTTAATTTCAAGCCTAAACAAACTGATTTATTTATAAATATTAACTCATTGTAGGAAAAAAACTTGGTTCTTTATATTCATTTGGAAGATTTTACTTTCCAAATTTTTGTTTTTAATAAGAACTGGATTTCTTTTCCTTTCTTATTGCTGTTCCAATTTAAAAAATTCTGAAAGTGTTTTCATTTGGTTAAATGTGTCGAAAATAAAGGAAGAATACTATATATTCCTCATATGCAAATTTTGGGTTCTTTTATTTATCATATCGGTGTTTCTATTACATTTAGGGTTTGAATTTGGCATACATATGGCCTCATTGTCTTGGAAGCTTGACTCGAAATTTTAGGCACGTCCCTCTTAAATGTTAATGAAAAACAAACTAAGTGAACAATTATAAGTTTCCTGTACACACACACACAACAAAACGATCCAAGGAGCGGCTTAGCAAATTTGGACAAAAAAGCATTATTCATAGTCGAATGAGTTAACAATTAATCGAAGGTGAGTAATTCTAACAATATGGTTAAGCACTTGTGTTTGTTTAGTTAATGTAGTTTTTTGTTAGACTGTGAAGAAGTGACTCTTAAATGGAAAACTAGGAGGGTTAAATTATCCAAATATTGTTTGATAATTATCGTATAATAATATTCCCACCTCAATCATATGCGATAATTAATTTCTTACACCTCTCATACAATAACTGACCTCCTTCAATTCGGTAATAATTTCTTATTAAAAAACAGGTTTTATTAAATAACAGGAAACTGGTTTTAGAATATGGTCTGGGACTATTTGATTTAGAACTTTGGTTGTTAACTGGCAAGTACCGATTTATTTCAAACTAATTCCCTCTACTACTAACAAACTACTTTATAATGACTTAGAGGTTTAATCAAAGAGCTAATGAGTGGCCACTAAAAAACTCAAGAATGTTTATTGCTGTTTTGATTCCATCGTTGAAGAAAACTCTTGATCAGCCACTCAAACATCATATGAAAGTTCATTTTGGCTATGGCTTTGTCATTAACATAAGAAATGCTTCGTACAGCGTTGAACTCTTTTGATTTCACTTTCTATTGAAGTGATTGAAAAGATTGGGAATTAATCGGGCCATTGAGTGAATGGCTGACATTTCTTATCTAATCGACAAGGGAATCTTTATGAAGGCGTAAATTGCAGTGGAATCTGGAGATTAGGTCTTCGAATAAGTTCGAATATCTGGCCATTCACCAAGCTGTTTGACTGCATTCAAGCCAAAAAAAAATATTTACACAGCTTGTAAAGGTCAACGAGTTTTGGTAAAACTTGAAGAGCCATAAACCTATATATCATTTTAGTTACAGTGCGTTTCGCAACTGAATGGAAGGTGTATTGAAATTGGCTAAATTATGTTTGGCAATTAAGACTGTGAATTAAATAGGTTTAGTTTTCATATTTTAATAAAGCCTTGAACATTTTGGATTGTCATACATGCTTGAAACGGACTGTAGGCTCACATACCTACATATATACATATGTTCGTACTACTTTTTTGTTGACAAAAATGTAGCTGAAGAGACAGCCGAAAATACGTGTTAACCAAATGGGAATAATGGGCTGGTTAACTGAAGATACCAGTCCACCACCCGCCTCGTTTTTACCTTCTTTTTCGTGTTGAAAAGTTTCATTAGCGTGTTGTTCGTGCAAGTTCAGGGACGTTGAACATCGGCATACATCGCCCTCAAAAAATTATGTTTATATCAGAGCCAAACTTTGGATAAGTAATTACAGTTTATACGACGCAAACGGCTTAATATTTTTATAAGCTAATAAAGATGTCGAGAAAAAGATGATTAAACCAATGTTTAAAGTTAAGTGCATACACTTGAATCGTTTGCCATCTTATCAGAAATGGTGATGTCGCCCCCAAGGTAACCATAACAATAACAATCAAGTTGATTATATTTCCCTAGTCATGGCGTATCACAGCCCTGTAGTTCTGGTACGGAGCTTAACCATTTTTTTTTAACCAACATTACCCAGCCTTTTAGGTGCTCGACCTACACACCTGAAAGGCCCAAGTCGAGGTTCTGTGTTTTTATTTCGCCAGTATGTTCGGCCTCAGTACGCTAATTATTATTTTTTGCAAATGTTCGTATTTATATTTTAGTAATTACCCGGCCACCAATGCCAGAGACTTTACATTAAATGGCGCAGGGTCTATGTGTTACCCTGGTGACGAATAATTATTGTATAATAGAGAGGTCTCGTTGAAGCGAATAAACTGTCCCGTATGGGTAAATTGATCCATCAATGATGCTATTCCGACCACCACACTCTATATAATTGTCGCATAATGCTCACTTTATTGGCGCGATTAAGCAGACTGACAGGCCCAGCTTGTTGCAGTCTGGTTTCGCATTTTTCACACTAGTTGCCAACATGTCTGGGTCAGGCCGAAGGGTTTCACATGCTTGAACTAAATATGAAAAAGCCAAGGAAATGGGGAAACTCGTTATGGTTACCAAAATGTGTCTAGCTGGAGGTTTAATGAGTAGGGCAACGGTTTATGACTTCATTAAAATTTCTATAAACCTAAACTCAAGGCTATTTGTAGTATAACTTAGTACTCATGAGTATAAGTTTCTTAGTAATTAAACTTATTTAAAATAATTAAAATTTATGGGACTTGTGACGCAAATGGCTCTTATCTTCTAGACTCTCGACACAGCTCTTCTCAAGTTTCTTCTCAAAATTTATTTACTTAAGAAATTTAAATAGAATATTTTAAAGCGTTCAGACTAGAATTTTCAAAAATGGAAAAATCATTCCCCCGAGTCCCAAATGAATAATACCAAATCTAAAGGATTACTCAGGGCTCCATGCCGCCGGACTCGGCATCAATCTTATGATCGGTATAGCTGGGCTGCAGTACTTCACGGGCATTCTCGTGGTCGGCCTTGCCCAGGGTCGTGGACCGGCCATAGAGCTTCATGTATTTCTTTTCCGGGTCGTGGACCATATACCCACCGCCAAGTCCTTGGGTGCACAAGCCCTTCTCCGACGCCTCCTTTTGCAACTCGTCATAGACGTCGACTGGGTGTTAGAGTAAGGAAATCAATTAGTGCTGGATGGTATCCTAGACTTTCGAAACTTACGATGGTACTTGGCTCTGGCGTTGCTACGGATTACAATTTTGGCGTTAGCCATTTCGCCATGAATATAGACGTATGCCATCATATACTTGGATTTTCCCTCTTGGATTTGAGCAACGGGGAATGTTATTAAGTTGCGATTGGGGTTATCACAATAGAAACGGAACGCTATACCCAAAAATTTCTAATTATTCATTCTTTTTGAAATCCCCAAAGATTACTCACCCTGCATCATGGGACGACAGGCGGGCCTCGATAACTTCCTCAAAATATCCATATTGAACAACATAAACCAAACTTTTCGTTTAACAAGGAATTTTGTGTAGCTTTTTTTTGTGACGTGCGGGACGAATCTGATAACAATTTCTGACTGAAATGAAATACAAAGTCTAGCTTGTTGAATTTTTAATTAGTGCCTACTGCGCTGTTTTGGAGCTTGCAATAATTCTAATGGTCTCCCTTTAATTAAACTACATTTCCTTTAAGCTTATCAATTTTCTAATAATTAAAATACAAAAGTGTTGATTCTAATTATTTTTTATTTTAATAATTTCAGAGTCCTGTGAATCTAAATACGAGGTTTCGCGGAGAATGGCTTGACTGGGAAGTAGTGACTGCATAAGAACGTAGCGAGTAACAGTTGCATGCACCGATTACTTACGTAATTATTCAAAAGCAAACAAGTGTTCACGACGAGATCGATCTACGGAGAAACTAATAAGATGGGCAAACTCCAGGTAATCGTGCATCCAGTGAAGAAAGAGTTCCAGCGAAAGAGCTGCGGCTTCGACCATGATACACCCGATGATTTTGTCAAGTCTCAGGTGAGAGTCCAGGTATTCGATGGAATACGTCAATTTAAATAGTTCAATGTAACCTGAATGGCAGCCCAAGTAGCTGCGACCTTGCGGTGGCTTTATAAACGCCTACGATTGTCACGCACCTGGGCAGGTGTTTGCGGTGGCTTTTTTTGGGCTGTAGGCACGGGTCAATGTACAGGGCTGAGATGAGCTTTTTAATATTTTAAATTGAAGATTGCTTATAGTCGCAAATAAAAGTATTTAACTTTAAAAATAATCCCTTTTGGCTTTTTAAATTAGTGCATCTGTCCTGGCTAAATCGCATTTACTTACCAACCTTAAAAAGCAGAGGGCGGTCGCCCATTTTGTATTCGACTTACCTTGAGCATATTTAATGGTTTCTACAATTCACAGTATCAATAGAAGGAGAGGTCACCCAGGGTATATCCACAAAACTTATATATGTATATATATATCTATGACAGAATAGTTTTTTCCTTCGTATACCGATTGTTCTTGCATTGTAAATTAAACCATTGAAATATTCATAAGCAGCAAGCCGTTACTAACCGTAACCAGTCAAGTTAAGCGAAACTTTAAACATGCGACAGGTACAATAAAGTGAGCTTCTCAGTACTTCTAACCTTTAACCTTCGGACTTATCTAACTCATTTGTCTCAGTACTGCGGAATAATTCTAAAAACCAAATATGAATAGCTTATATAATTTTAAAGGGAATTAAAAGCTAAAGTTATATATTATTTTAAATACTTACAGTGGCAGACTTGTACAAAGAGCATGGCCTATTTGTTCTACCGCTGGTTTATGGCCCTGTTCTTCGTGGGCGTGGTAATCGTCTCTATGAGGCCAGATCCAGACGATAAGTATAGCTATTGGTTGTACTTCATCTACATGACCAACTGGGGAATATGGATGTGCATGTTGACCAACCTGATGGGTGCCATATTAGTCACCATTTGGCACTATCATCCAGAATACGCGGGTAAGATCAGCAAGATAAGTCTGTAAAAATTATACTAATATATATTTGCATCTTCCAGATAAACTCCTGAATATGAAAAGTTCCTGCAGCTACTTTCGTGTCTATTGGGGCATGCACGTCATAAGTTTGGTGTTATCTATTGTCATAACCATTATCTACTGGAGCTTGCTCTACAATGGTAACGAATTCCGAGAAGATGTTGTCTTATAACTCTAACATATTTTTTCTTTTAAGCTAATGAAAGTACTCTAGACGCCACTAATGTGCTCACCCATGCCTTCAACTCGGTTTGCATGTTCATCGATCTGTGGATTGTGGCACATCCCTTGAGGCTCTTGCAGATGTTTCTGCCCGTGGTATTTGGTGTGGTGTATGCCATTTTCTCCTACATCTACCAATCAAGTGGAGGCGTTAATAAGTGAGTAAAAAGGTAGTTCTACAACTAACTACAAGGAAATTGAATTTTGAACTTTTTGCAGAAAGGGCAAGCCTTATATCTACCATGTAATCGACTGGAGCAAGCCCGAAAGCTCCTTCATCACAGTGATTGGCGTTTTAGTCCTATCCTGTTGCATCTACATCCTGCTATTCGCCTTCTTCAAGCTGCGAATGTTCCTCCATCGACGCTGCCGCAAGGCCAGCTTCGTCCTGCCCACCAGTAGCGCCAAAAAGAATGGGCTGGACGATAAAAATGCATCTGCCAATGGAATCCAGCACTCACCTTCACGCATATCCATGGTATTGGGCAACTTCAAGGGCTACGAAAATCAGGCTTACTCCCCCAGTGGCGAACCCACAAACAAAAACTAGGACTTGTATTTAATCTAGGAGCCACTAGTAGTATTTAGTCGAATTATCCTGTAGAATTTACAACCAGTGATATTATATTTTATTATTTTAGTCAATAAATCCGCTTTGTGAGGGATTCTTGCTTAAATGCACTTCAAAGCTAATAAGCTAGCTAATTTGCTGATTTCGATGGCAATTTAAATCAATATTAATGCGGCGAAAATGAAATTTAAAAGTCTCATCAAAAAATCCATGAAATAGTTAAAAGCCAAAAGAGCGGAAAGTAGCCGCCAAGAACCTTCGGGTTCGGTTGGTTGACACACCCGCCTTTGGGAACTTTACAGTTGATAATTCAAAATTTATGAGAGGTGACTCGTTGGAAACATGGGGTGGACAGTGGGTACTTATGCACTATGAGAAAAATATTCAGCCGATTTGGCTGGTTGGATTAGGTAGGAGATGTGTAAATATTTTACTCAAGCCCCTAATCACCTTTGAATGACTACATTAGCCCAAATAGGCCCAGAAGGACATCGCATTGGAGGCAATAGACCATCAAGGGCAGGATTAATTCGGACAATCTATTTATATGTGTGTTTGGAGTGTTCCAGGAGATTTTCAGTATGGGATACTTCAGCACTCACTTGATCCGAGGCCCTTGGGTCAGGCTGGGTCATTCGAGGTCGGCTTTTGTTGAATTATTTAAAAATATATAGAGTTTACTCCATGAGTTCTTAAAATATTTAAAGGATTATATTACGTCACACTAATCACAATTCATTTCTAGTAACTAATTATCTTCTTCTTTCAAACCTTGACACTTGGCTTATTATTTATTTATGAAAATTATTGCATTTCAATTTCGTATAATTATTACGAGTGCAACTTGACATTCCCATCATTTCACGCAAGGAACCACACGCCTTAGCCAGAGTCCTTAATCACAGATGTTAGGTTCGAATTGCTTAACCCTAAGCTGACCAAAACCCGTCTGCAATTGTGTACACACGTTGGCCAAAACGCGTAGCCTTAATTAAGTTTGAAAGAGCCATTTAATAACCACGGGACCCGCCCAAAAGGCCCAAGGACGAGCCGGAGACACGAGCCACGATGCGGTGTTGTGGTCGCCGGTGCCGGTCATTGCGAAGGATTTACTTTACGCATAAGTTGGAATTTCTGGGGGCGGGGGGGCAAGGGAGGTACACAAAGGTGGGCGGTAGCGTGGGTGTGAGTGTCAATGTCAATCGGTGGGCTGGTGTTGTTATCTTTGTTGTTGGTGCTGTTATTGCCACTGTCCTTGTGTCGACGCCACATGACATGTCAGAAATTCCAACAAATTAGGCGTCGCATCTGTGGTCGGCCCTGGATCGATATGCGACCAATTTGATCGATACAGAGTTTCCTTGAGCTTTGAACTTCTTCGGGTGTCCTTGCCCAGAGTGTCCTGCCTCTCCAGTGTCAACTTCAAAGTTGACCCAGCAAAACGAATCAATTGAATTTTAATTGTATATGTTTTGGAAATTTGGACAGCTGTTGTCGGCTATTAGACTTGCCGAATCCTCCCTCAAGAGTCAACAACATTGAACTGCACCATTGAAGCCAACAAAACCAATCTAAATAAATAATGCCAATTAATAGTGTGAAATATTAATTGAAAGCATGCCCACGCGTCCCAGTGTTCTAATTCCCATCCAATGTGGTCGAAATCCTGCCCTACATGCATGACTCCCTGCAGTCCCAATGGATTAATGAATTTCCCCATTTTTTTGTCATTGTCTGATGGCATGATTGGGCATATTTTTTTGCCGTCAGGTTTATGGAAGTGTGGCTACATAAAAAAATACATATTTGATCATTTTTATAAAAGGATATTTATTCTTTAATGTTTTGAAAACCCCCCCTTTCTAGAGTGTTATTCTCAATTATTTTTTAAGACCTACATATATCTTTAAGTATTCATTTTTTCTTTCACTAATGTTGTTATCCCCAACAAGTTATACTTGACTTGAACAGCTGTAAGTCAAGGGATTTGTTTTCAGCAATAACAAGAATAGGAACAAAAGTGGCAAACACAATCAACATGGACGACAGGACACTAACATGCCAGCACTCCACTGACAACCAAAATATAGGAAAATATTTCAAAAAATGCGCTCCACATGTGTATGAGAAACGCACCGCTGGCTCCAGGACACAGGACTCGGGACAGGACATTGTTTGGAGCGCATAAACAAATGGCGGCTCATGAATGACACACGGACAGGTGAAGTCGTTGTAGTGAGTGGTCGGATGGCAGGGTGGGTGGTTGGTTAGTAAGTGGGGTTAGCAAGGTGGTCCTTTGGCGGCCGTGCGTGAGCCTTCCAGCGGGCAATGAAAATCCCGACCGACCGGTCGCTAGATAAGCCCACGGATAGAAAAACCGAAACACCTCGGGTAGCCCACCCACCATGCCAGTGCCATGACTGGAATTGCATGTGGTGGCCAGAAAACTGCTGGAACTCATAAAGTATTCATTAATTGGAAGCCCGCGCTACTGAGTGACCACATTGAGTGAATCGGCTGGCACAGGTAAAAACCGAGGCAGTTGTCAATTTTCAAGCTCAGTTTCGATTCGGACGCTCGTCGAGCAGTATGTGCCCGGTTAATTGAACCCACGAAGGAGTGATTTCGAACAATAAATATCGGGTGGAAAGAACGCGAAAAGTTCTGAAATCAAAACATAACACCGGCAACGACATGTAGCTCGGTGTTGTGCGTGCTGCCGACGATAAAACGCGAGAACAAGTATCCCTGAGATACCAGAGCCACAAAACGAACACTAATTTATAATATATACACACATCGGGGGGAATTATTTTCACGGTAGCCATGGACGGAATTTCACCGATTCCCATGCATCAGAACTGGCTCTAAAAAAACCAACATTATATCCTTAGTTTTCTTTTTTTTTTCGAGGCGGAAAAATATAAATTTTAAAAGCGGTGGTGTGTGCGCCCGAGTATAGGATTTGGTGTGTGCGCGTGTGTGGGTGCAGAAGGGAAAACACAATTGCGAAAATTCAGCTATACTGGCCACCGAATGGATAATGGGTATTTGTTTAGACACAGGTGAGTAATGGCCCATCCAGGAGATTTATAATCAGAGATTAGCACTGCCTCTCCACGGCCAAAGATAACGAAAAGAACCCTAATGAGTTGTGGCCCGACCACGCCAAGGGGAATACGAGTATCATAACCTCCTATATCTCCTATACAACCCTCGTTTAATAAACCAACTTTTCATTAGTTTTTGTTGCAATGAATTTTAGATATCGGGTATTACATTTGGGAACTGAAAATGAATATAGCCTGATTTTAATAGACGATCTCTAAGCTGAGTATTCTTTATGAGAGAAGAACTGAGGCATACTTTTAGGAGTTTTTAAAAAAAAATATTTGTTGAAAATATCATTTTTATTTCCTTTGTTAATTAAATCACCATGACATATTCAATTATTCACTCAAAAGACGGTCTCTGAAGACAGCTAAAATTGAAATTACAGCAATCATTGGCTTTGAAACCCTTTTAAATGGCAATTATCTGTCACAAAATGGCTTAAATCAAGCACACAAACGGATATATGAATGTCAGGGGTTCTGTATCCGAATCGGGACCTTGCCCAACGCTATAATTTGTATCGGAACTTGGAGCTCGGCCTCCATGGCTGCCAGGTCCTTGGGCATGTTCGTTGACCACCAAGCCCTATACACATAAATCCTGATAAAAAACAGAAAAAAAAAAACGCGTCACAGCCAAAAACAAAAAACACAGACAGGAAACTTAGAAGGGGGAAACCCCAGGCCGGAAAGGGACAGCAACAATAACAAAACATGTCAATTAAATAAAACTGCAGGAAAATCAATAAAAATGTGACAAGACCGAGGTAGTTCCTTGCTGGAAAAAAATCATGAAATCGCAGTTAGGGTGGCCAGTGGCCAGTGGTCACCACTAGCGTATTCTTTGGGGTTTCGCACTGGGGCAGCTGATTTTCCATGAATGAATTCAGCTGGTGACGCCATACTACATATACTAGACACCGTTGCCATACAATTAAATAATTGTTTAACATGTTTTAATGATGTGTTTTGCGATTTGTTTCGTTTTTCTTTTTTTTGATTGCCCGCCCCCGCTCCGTTTTTCCATTCCTTTGCTAAGTGCGTGTGCTTCTGTCCGTAATTTCCGTACTCCTGGCAAATTGCTTCCGCCCTCGATGAAGGTTGGCTAATGCCGACTTGGCACGTTACGGTTGCCCTTGTCCGGGCCGCTTGGCGGGCGCTAACTCGCCAGCACATCCGGTTTCCGGTTGAGTAATGGCTGCTCCCCAGCCAAAAGTTAACTGTTGCTCCTTTATGGAAAAGGAAAGGAAAATCCGAGGAACATTCTTAGATCTATGATTGTTAGACAAGCTATTTATGTTTATTATTTGGTTAGTTGGAAATAGAAAGAAACATTGAAATTAAATCCTAGCCAAAATAGAAAGGGTTTTTTTGAAAGGGAACTAATTTTAATTAAAATACTATAATAACTTATTTAATATTTTTACAGATGCCACCGCGGCACAAGATACCGGCGAACAAGGCAACGATTGGAATCATACACGGAATCGAAATGGCCAAAATGCTGGAGACTTGGAGACCGCCGCGGCGGCTGGCCATTTGGGCTCTACCAATATCGGCGGTATCGATATGCAAAATGCTGGAAAAATCAAATTCGATCCGCCCAAAGTGCCAGTGATATTTGTTTTAGGCGGCCCAGGTAGTGGCAAAGTCACCCATTGCGATACCTTTATGCAGGAGCGGCGCGGAGTGACGCACATCAATATGATGGATCTGCTTCAGCAATATGCAATGGGCAATGGTAAGATACTGATCTATAGTTAGAAATTAAGCTAAATAAAATTATAAAAAAAATGTTAAACTAAATAGATATATGGATATGTTAATGAAAAGTTATAACAAACACCTTTCTTTTTATAGACATGCAGGACTTTTCGCAACTATCGTCGAAAACAGTCACCGAGGTGTTGATGTTGGAAATGAAAATGGCTCCAGCTGCCAAAGCATACCTAATATCTGGATATCCACGCTCAATGCGCGACGTTGTCGAGTACTCGGAGAAGGTAATTTTCCATTTTCCATCCCCACCATTTGAATAATTTGAGTCGCCATCGCCATCGCCATTGCTGGGCACTGTTGGGCACTCCTTTTCCCATATTTATTATGAAGCCAATTTTTGTTGCCGCACACTTTATTTGCCCAGTAAATTGCTGTTGAGCTATTTGAACTAATTAACTGGCAAATAGGTCACCGTCGTCTCCCCGTGTGTCTGTTTGTTCGGCAATAATTCCAATGGGTTTACAGTCAAGTTCACGTTCGGTATCTATTATGTATATTCGAGTGCTAATTGGGCACACTGGAGCACTCACAAATGCCCAGTCACGTATCCCAATGGCGGTAACTAAATTATAGTATATAGACCTATCATTGCATAAGTAGGACACATATTTGGTGACACCTCCAAACGAATCATCTTTGATTAATTTCGACTATTTTCTCGCTAACTATTTTCAGATACAAGTCGTTAATGGCGTGATTCTAATATCCTGGCGTCAGTCGGTTTTACAAAAGCAAATCGATTATGGAGCCAAATTAGGTCATGTAGTACTCTCCTTAGCCAAAATGGAATTGGAAAATTTCTTCAAAAATGTGATGCCAGTCGCCGATTATTTTGATCAGAGCGACATGCTATTGGCTGTAAGTACTGTGAAGGTATTAGCCCTTTAATGTTGTGACAAATCCATTTTGATGTCCCTATTTTTCTGATTTTTAATTATACACTTTAACCGGTATTTATCAAATTACAGGTTAATGGTGAGCGTGCTCCCACAGAGGTGTACAAAGACTTTCGCACCGCTGTCCTCGACATACTCAGCACGCTCGAGAACCAGGAGGCCGTGATGAATGGAGTTACAGGTATGGGCAGAGGGATACATGATATACCCGGCAGTATAGTTAGCGTTGACACCGCACCAAGTCAAGCCCAACAAGCGACTCAAATTGCAGAAGGCACCGCCGCCGTTAGCACCACCGACACCACTGGCACCGCTCTGGCCAGAGATCTGGCCGTGGATCCCACGGTTGGGGCTGTGGCCGTCATGAAAACGGCCACCACCAGTGCCGATGACGACAGCGGGGTGGTGATCACTCAGCAGCCAAAGCTCCGTCCAGAAGCCGGTCCGGATGAGTCCAACCTGCCGCCTATCATTTGGGTGATCGGAGGTCCGGGAAGCAACAAGGCCACGCTTTGTCTCAAGGCAGTTGGCCTGAATCCAGGCTGGGCTCACATTAGGTATTTTATTTTCAATAAATTCTTTAAAAATATAAAATGAATAATTTGTTAAATGGTTTGCAGTGTGGGTCGCCTTCTGCGGAATATCACAGACTCTGCACCACGTGCCAATACCGAAAGTTATGCCGTCAAGGAGGCCCTGGCCGCCGGGGATATGGCTCCCGAGAAGTCGCTGAACCAGCTCCTGGAGACAAATCTGCGTCAATTACGGGATAGAACTGGTATCATCATAGATGGGTATCCCAGGAATCTGCAACAAGTCAAGTACTTTGAGAATAAGGTAGGGTATTCCAATATTACATATTTTATAAAATGAAGGTTGACTTATTTACTTTTTAGTACAAGCAACGTCCGCCCATTATTTTGCTGGACTGCTCGAAGCTGCAACTGGGGCGGGGTCGTATAGACGACACAGTTTCCTCATTCCGTCGCCGCCTGGAGCTCTTCCGGGAGCAGACCCTGCCTATGCTCAAGACCCTGGACACCAGCAATCGTCTTCAGATTGTAAGTTACCTGATAATCCCAGAGATACCATGAATATTAATAAATTTCCGGAAATTCCCAGGTCGATGGCGATACGGACAGTCCTTCGGTACAGCGTGAGTTCGAGCGTCTCATCCGGAGTCACATTCAGCGACTGCTTAACCAAGGCGAGGACACGGATGCCATGGAGCCACTAGGCAACCAAATGATGCGGAACGAGCAAACGGATGCCATTCTGCACGACCTTGAGACGAATGTGCCGGGAGCAGTGCCCACGATCAGTCATCATGTCAGCATGATGAACGGACATCTGAAGAACCGGGGCAGTGCAGTGGGAAGTGGCAAGCAAATGATGAACGGCCATGTCCCAGGCAGGCCGGGAACAGGAGCCGGAAACGGAAATGGGCCGGTGGGCCAGTCAGTGCCCGTTGACTTCCGGCACATGCTCGAGGAGGCCGAGCGGTATCCGGTGGACTCGTACATGTAGAGAATTTCAAAAGTGGAAAGTTTTATAGTTTTCTAATCGAACTAGTTTAGGAATATTGTTAATGCTGGTTTGTTGTTGAGTCTGGGACCAATGAGTTGCAGTGTCCTTATAGCCTAAGGTAGCAGAATTAAATTCGATTATTTCACTAAAACCCCTAGCGACATATCAAGTTAATCTTAAAGAGAGTGCCTTCTCTGAAGACTCCAATGTAGCTATTAAAATAAAGAACCTTTTAATAAAATCAGGTATGTTCAGCTATTTTATTATCACTTTAATGGCAGAACTGTTACATTTTTAGAAGTGAATTTTAAAAGAGTCACAATCCTATCTTGTTTCATCTTTCTCCATTATTTTTGCTGTCATGTTTTTCCAATGGATCATTTCCTCGTCCAAGTTCTTTGGGTAGCAGAAACAGAACTTTTTGCCAATTTCGTGGTCGATACACTGCGATTGGTTCTTGATGTTGTGCAGGGCACTCACGTCCTCCCATTTGACCCTGCCCATTTGGGACGTATGGACGTTAAATCGAACAGTGGCCTCGTATACTCCAGTTTCCGGATCCGTCTTAATCCCTATGCGGAAGGTACTAATGCCGTTTTTGGTCTCAGGCCCCAACTTTCGCTCGAAATAGTCGATGCCCGAGACCAACAGTCTCTGGCAGAATTGGTTCAGGCCCTTTATCAGCATATACGAGTTCGTGTGGAACAAGAATCTCCTCGCCAAATCGAAGGCGATTCGATCGTGGGGCAGAGGAACGAATTCACGGCAGGTGCAGAAGTGTGGCTCAATGCAGGCCTCCTCGCAGCCCCGATCCTTGGGAAATGGATGGAACAATGACCTACTTGAATTGCAGAGCTCCATGTCCGATGGCTGTTTGACTAGCTCCTCGTGGGTGGTGGCATTCAGTTGCAGGATGTGTCGCAGGGTCATGTGCAGATCGTAGGGCGAAGTGAGGCGTTCGCGGTTCATCTTCATATTTGCCGTAAAGTTCTCATAGGCCATCTGGAACCAGACCGGCAAATGGATGTGCAGCAAGGGCAGACGCTGCTCCAGGAAGCCATCAGGCAAACGGGCCAGCTCTCCTGTTTGATATCCCTGATCACTCACCAGTATCACAATTGAGTCGTCGAATACCTGGTTCTTTTCCATCAGCTCCAAATGCTTTACGAACCGATTGTCCAGACTGGTGGACGCAAAGTGGTATTCCCGGGTGAAGGAAGAGCTCCAAAATAGTCCGAACGCTGGCTGATCCAGTTCTGGGACTAATCTTTGTGTGAACTGAAGGCAAAAGTTGGACAGGTGGTCAAAAATCAGATGTCTGCCAACACAATATTTAATGCCAAATCTATAAACTATGTTCATGAACGTGGATAGGGCTGAAAGCAGAGATTGAAGTTCAAATTCGGCGGGTATCTCGAAGGGAAATGATGCTTCAGTGGTGTCCTCCCCAAAGGCCGTAGAGTATCCAGCCATTCTGTACTCCTTCCAAATCAATGGTAACCGCTCGATACACTCCTCTTTTCTCTTCGTTCCAGCAAATACGGCACAGAGGTTTTCGGCCGTAGAATACCCTACCTTGTTGTAGCCCTGCATTTCAAACCAGTTTGGTTTTCGCACAAATTCCGCCGTTTTCGGCATAGTCCGTTGGAAATTCATTCTCGACAGACTCTCCAATCCCAGGATTATCACACTGGGTTGCCTATCCAGAGGATGGCTTTTAATACGAGTGCTCTTGTTGAAAACCTGGACCAGAGGAAAGGCATTCTGCTGCACAATATTCTCATTGTTTCTCGCATCGTGACATTCCACTAAGATGCCGCTAATGTTGGGTTTCAGGAGAGCATCCTGCTGGAAACTCCTTTGAGAAACACTGCGAGAAGAATAGGAATATTATATCTGTCCTAAATTATCCATTAGTTAGTTTCTTACGTGAAATATGGATCCCCATTATTGTTAACAAACTCTCGATAGTGGCAGCTGAACTTTGTAATATTTGGAGCTATTTTCACCATCAAAACGGTGTTAACGTGAACCCTATATCTCTTTAGTTTTTGATCATATCTTAGCGATATAATACCCGATTCATTGCTGCACTTCTTTAACTCTACATGTTGAAGGATTTCCATTACAGCCGGGGAGAAAGGATCTGCAAATGGTATTTGGCACTTTTTGTCGTTCACAAAGAATCTGTCAGTTGGATCGGTCATCAATCGTCGATTTGTTCTTTCGCTCAAATCATATATCGACTTTTCCACATAATGGGCCACTTTAGCTGGAAAGGGCTTTCTGGGCGGCCTAGAGGTCGCTATTAGAGCCAAAAGCCGTTGATGAAATTGGAACATTTTCTCTTCCTGAAAATCTCGAGTTACGTATTTAACGAGAATTGGCTGTTCCACTACTTCCTTTACAAGTACAGGAAGTTGAACCTCCTTCTCGGGGTCTTCGTTCTTCCCCGGAAACACATGAGTGCACCAAATTAGTAGCAACAGAATAGCAAAAAAGATAATGGCAAACTTTTTAAATTTCATTTCGTTTTCTATTGTTTGTGCTCTAAAATATTCCGTGTATGATTCTGATTAATTTTAAATAGATAGCTTGGATGGTAGTAGGAAAAATAGTACAGATTTTGAGTATATTTTCAGGGTAATAGAAAAGCTAGGATTTTTGATAGACAAGTTTTGATTGGGAATATATCTTATAACTCGTCTAGTACTAGTCTGATCTTATAAAGCCTGACAAAAAAAGAAAACTATAGGATAACATGGAAAATGTATATATTTTCATTTTAAGCAGGTGTTGTAACAGTTAAGTTTTCTTCCTTAGCATCATAAAAGTCATCTTCATTATGTTGCAAATATTCATAGACCACTTTTTGAGGCTTTCGAGAATAGTGATGTTTCAGAGCCAGGACCTCAGGCTTGAAGCAGAAGCATATTTTCTTGGCCATTGCATCCTGAGCACAATGGGATTGATTCCCGTATGAGTTCAGGCGACTGATCGAGTCCATCTCGACGCCGACTGCCACGTCCCCCGGGCTAGTGCGGATAGTGGCCCGAAACATACCGTCATTTGGAAGGGTGCTGAATGCCAGACGATAAGTGTCAATGAAATTCGGAGGGGCTATCCTATTCCCACGATCATCAAAGTGCAACTCCTTTTCCGCCATCAGGATCTGGTTTAAGTGCAGTCGGTGGCAGTACCCGTCAAGATTTAGTTTTTGCAGGAACTTGTTCATCCGGTAGACAGCCGCTTTAGCCAGTGTCTGGACGTAGTCGCTCTTCTCCACCTGGACGAAGGGCTGGCAGGTGCACCAGTGGCGGGGTATCTGGGCCTCCTCGCAGCTCCGGTTGACGGGAAGGGGGCGTAGAATCGATTTGCAACCGACACAGGGCTCGGCAAAAGTGAGTCCCGGACGAACCTGCTCCAGTAGCTGCCGGATGCCCAGGTGGAGATCGTAGTTGGAGCAGAGACGGTTCTTATTCAGCTGCAGGGCCTCTACCACCGATGGATAGCGTTCCCGGTACCAGGGCGGTAGGTATATGTGTAACATGGGCAGTCGCTCCTCCAGGAAACCCGTATAGTGCTCGGCCAAGAATCCAAAACGGGAGCCATGATCGCTCAGCAGGATAACTACGGACTTATTAAACAGTCCGTACTCCTCGAATTCCTTCAGATAATCGACCAACAGCCCATCTAAAAGGTGTCCGCCCCGGAAGTCATCGTGCGTGAAGCTACTAGTCCAAAACAAACCGAAAAGGGGCTTTGGATTCTCGTGGACAAAACGCTGGATGAGCTGCCTGGCAAAGTCGAAAATGTAGTCGAAACTGAGTCGCCTACCCACGCAGTACTTAAAGCCAAGATATTCGACCGATTTGAGGATTTGTTCAACGACAATCATAAAGGGCCGCAAGTAAAAGTCCACTGGCTTTCGGATAAAGCCCGACTTCAAGTAGTTGAAGATGGAGAAGCTGGTCATGTCCTCGGCGTAGGCTGTTAGGTAGCCTGCATTGTGAAAGAAGTTCCACAAAAAAGTCATATAGTCGAAGCATCCTTTGGTCCGCAAATCGCAACGGCGTCGCCATCTCGTCGGGTTCCCCCCCGTTAGTATGGCTATTAGATTGGGAAGCGTATTGTCGGCCACTTTGTTATAGCCCTCCAATTCGAACCAACCCGGTTGGCGAACAAATTTCCAGGTTAGCGGCATCATTCGTCGGAAATTCATCCTGGACATGCTGTCGATTCCGAAGATAAACACGCTGGGATACGTGGTTGTTCGAATGGCATCGGCTTTGTCGTCGTGGTGCTTCGGTTGTTGGACGAACGAGAAGGCATCCTTTTGGAGGATATTTGACGTGTTCCCAACTTCATGACACTGCACCACCACTCCCAAGAAGTGACTTGGTACAGCCCAATCCTGGTCAAAGTCATCGGCTGTCATTAGGCTGTCAAGACAAAGAAAAAATCTCTCGTAAGCAGTTTTTTCAGACCACACTTGCTGTTATCATATTAAGAGTAAATACTTTTACAGAACATTTTACTATTTACCCCAAAAATGCTGAATCCAACTTACTATGAAAACGTGTCATCGGTTCCACGAACAATCTCACTGTAAGTACAAGCAACTTCTGAATAGTTTGAAAAATGCGTAGAAAGCACATCGTAGTTTATATGCAGTCTGTACTGCTTTTCCTCAGAATTATAGAGAGCACTTATTAAGCTTGGCTCGTTGGTGCAAGACTTGAACTTAAGGGGCGGTACAATCTTCCAAATGTCGTCGCCAAACCAATCCAAATACGGCATTTGACACTTGGAGCTGAGAACAAAAAACCTCTGGTCTGGTTTGGACCATTTGCGGATGTTCGACTTTTTTGTCGACTCAATAGTCTCATTTTCAATGGTACCACTGTGATAGCTACCATTGAGGTCGAAACGAGTTACGGACTGAATATGAATCTCCCAGGAAGTATTTGTCGGGGTCTGGTCGCGGTTACTTCCCTTGTAGTGAACCAGTATGTATATCAGCCACAAGAGCAGCGAAAAGAGACATAATTTGCGAAGGTAATGTCGGGACATGATTGCGTTTTTTGTGTGAAATTACAAAGTGATTTGGCTGGATATTGCTTGGCACACTTTGTGATTTAAGAAAAGCAGTCAATTGTTATTTAAAAATTGTATTTAATTTAAATCATGTATTAATTCTCTTATGAGTAAAAACATAGAACAATCAATCAAACTCCTATCTAGTTGGGAAACATCATCTTATTAGGATTCCTTTTTTTAAATTCAATATCTACTTAATGCTAGATAGCTACAAATAAATAGGAATAACTAAGAGTAGCAAATCGGTGGTGTTCAAACGAGATTGTCAGGATTTGAGGTCACTGAAGCAAATACAGTACAACTTCGCTAGCTTGTCCTCGATGCAGGTGGAGTCTTCGCGGTACGAGTTTGTTCGACTGATTTGCTCCACATTTACTTCCGAGGTCTGGGTGACATTATTGTAGACGACAGTGGCTTGAAAGTCGGCGCTATTTTGTTTCACTTTGAACTTGACCCTGTATACGGCCTTCTCCAGCTCTGGCAGTTGATCGTCGTGCCATTTAACGTCCACTCCAGTTCTGATCTCTGTCTTAATGACATAGTATAGGGTCAGGTTAGAGCAGAGTGCGGATAGACCCTTGGCCACGAAATACTCGTTCATCCGATCGATGACACTGTGCGATATCTGATCTGTCCAGGCCTGGTTAGAAATGGGGATGTAGGGTTCGCAGGTGCACCAGTGATCGTCGATGGCCGCCTGGGCGCAGGTGCGATCCTCCGGAAGGACATGGAACAGGGACTGGCAGGTGGGGCAGTCGAAGGCCTTGGGCAACACCGGTCCATCCGGAGTTCCTCCCAGCTCAATGATGTGTTTCAGAGTATTGTGGATATCGAAGTTGGAGCACAGCCGGTGCTGGTTGATCTTCAGTGCCCGGACAAAAGAAGGATACGCCACCCGAAACCAGGGAGGTAGATAAATGAACATCATGGGAAGTCGCTCCTCCAGGAAGCCTTCCTTCAGCCTGGTCAGACGTCCGTATCTGACTCCATGATCGGCGAAAAAAATCATAATCGTCTCCTCCAGAGCACCAGCCGACTTCAGGTCCAAGAAATCACCCAGGATCTTGTCCTGCATGGCGGAGGGCATAAAAGGATCGTCATGGCTGAAGTGACTCGACCAGAACATTCCCCAGATGGGACGTTCGTGGACAAACCTTTCGGTGAACATGCGTCCATAGTCGTAAATATAACGATTCGCTATACGGCGGCCCAAGCAATATCGCATATAATCATGCTGGGGTATCCGGTAAATATCCAACTTGGTCTCCAGGGCCTTCAAAAGAGGTCGGAAGTAGAAATCCACTGGCTTTTTCTGAAAGCCCGGCTTCAAGTAGCTGAAATGATTTGAGCCACTTTCATCTTCAGCGTAACCTGTCAAATAGCTGGCATTTTTGAAGTACTTCCATATCATGGGCATTTTGTCAAAACAACCTTCTGTATCAGTATCACAAATTTGCTCTTTTGCTGTTTCGGCCGAATAGCCACTGAGAATGGCGAATATATTTGGAAAAGAATTGTCACCAATCTGTAAAACACAAAAAAGACATGTTTAACAACTTCCCACACTATTTTCACGAGTTCTTATTTGTTTAAATTATTTTCCTGCGAAAATAAATGTGTTAACTTAAGCCATTGGTGGTAACTTTTAATGAAGCCTCTATTTTTAAGTCAAGTTCATTGCTCTCTTACGTTTACTTTTGAAATAAATCAAAATTGTACCTTATTGTATCCCTGCATTTCGTACCATCCCTCACCTTGAAGGAACTTGAAAACCTTGGGCATAGTTCTTCTGAGGTTTATCCTAGAAAGTGAATCGATGCCGTACATAATGACACTAGGTTTCCGCACTCCATGTTTCTTCTTCATATCCTTGGGCAGTGGCTCATACTGCACAAATGTAAATGCATCCTTTTGAAGGAGTATTGAAGGCTCATCCGCGGTTCGGCACTCAACCACAATACCCTCAACATGTGTGGGTACTACATATCCATCCGAGAAATACTTATTGGACCCGAGTCTGAAAGAAAATATGTGAAAAATAGATATGGGTTAGAAAAAGCTATAGCTCTAGCACTATCTTAAATTTTAACTAGTCTAATTATTTGTATGTACTCACTTGTCAAAGGTGTCTGCCTCACTGCCGTACTCAACCTCCCGGTAAAAGCAATTGTACTCCACATCCGTGTTGTTCATCAAGTCCATAGCAACTTCCTCGTCGATCCGCAAAATATATCTCTGGATCTTTAGGTTATATTCCGTAGACACCAGATCACTATCATTGGTGCAGGTCACCAGGGTCTCGGGGCTATAAAACTCCATAACTTCAGAAGTGAAAGGGTCCACGTAGGGAATATGACATTTGGATGTTTTCACATAGTATTTCTGGGTCTCTTTTGGCAGAGGAACGGATTCCTTCAATTCCAAATCTGAAAATTCATTATTAAGCTGAGTGAAGTAAACTAGGAACCCCAGAAAACCGCACAAGACAATAACTTTGTATAAAGGATGTGTGGCCCGAAGACGAGACTCCATGGTGTGCCGTCGACCACGGAAAGAAATGAACTGAACCGATCATTGGGTCTGCGAAACGAAATACATGTCCATAATTGAGAAGACGCCTGTTATCTTGTCACCTAGAAACGTGCGAAGCGGAGCTAATGTAAGTGGTTCACTTACAACCTCCCATACTTTTGTCACCACTTTTAAGAAATTAATTAAACATTTTTCGGATTCGGGTCGGATTTATCCAATTCATTTTTTATTCAAGTCCTCTTATGGAAATATTATATTTCATTCATATATCCGCATATTCAAACGGAGAATGAATATGCCGGAGACTGAAAAGATATACACTAACATATATAACATACACACTTTTATTCTAAGAAAGCTTTAATTTCCTCCAAGTCTGGTTTGATAACATTAAAATTTAATGATTAAATGGAAATAGAAAGCCCAAGACAAGAAAGTATCATACATGCGCAGTGTGCTTGCCAAAAAACCTATCGCCAAAAAATATATTAAACCACAACTTACACAGAAAACGTGTCATGGTCTCGTTGTACAACAAAATTCCAAATAGTCTCCAAGCGAAGAGACCACATCGTCTCTTATCTGAAGACGGCCCAGTTTTGTACAGCAGCCTTTGTGATTTCATTAATATATTTAATTTTTATTTACAATTTTTATTTAAATACATTTTTTATTTCTAATTACATCCTTATTAATATAAGTAGAAACACAGAAAAAAGTCAACCACACTCATATCTTATCAATTGGTAGAAATAAATTATTGGTTTATCTTTTTTTAAATGCAAAAAGCCTAAAAATTTGTATCCAAGCAGTTAAGTTCAAATGAGATATTTACTGCTTGAGATCGCTATAGCAAATACAGTACAGCTTCGCTAGCTTGTCCTCGATGCAGGTGGAGTCTTCGCGGTACGAGTTTGTTCGACTGATTTTTTCCACATTTACTTCGGAGATCTGGGTGACATTATTGTAGACGACAGTGGCTTGAAAGTCGGCGCTATTTTGATTAACTTTAAAGTGGACCCGGTAGACGGCCTTCTCCAACTCCGGCAGTCGCTCATCTTGCCATTTTACTTCTTGGCCCGATTTGATCTCCGTCTTAATGACATGGCGCAGGGTCAAGTTGGAGCAGAGTTTGGTTAGATTCTTGGCCACAAAATACTCGTTCATCCGATCGATCACACTGCGGGAAATTTGTTTGGTCCAATCTGTCTCAGGGATGAGGATGTAGGGCTCGCAGGTGCACCAGTGATCGTCGATGGCCGCCTGGGCGCAGGTGCGATCCTCCGGCAGGACATGGAAGAGGGACTGGCAGGTGGGGCAGTCGAAGGCCTTTGGCAGTACGGGTCCATCCGGAGTGCCTCCCATCTCAACGATGTGTTTCAGCGTATTGTGGATATCGAAGTTGGAGCACAGCCGGTTTTGGTTGATCTTCAGTGCCCGGACAAAGGATGGATAGGTCGCCCGAAACCAGGGAGGAAGATAAATGAACATCATGGGCAGCCGCTCCTCCAGAAAACCTTGCTTTAGCCATGTCAGACGCCCCCATCTGATTCCATGATCGGCGAAGAATATCATGATCGTATTCTCTAGAGCACCAGCCTCCTTCAGATCCAAGAGGTCGCCAAGGATCTGGTCCTGCATGGCAGATGGCAAGAAAGGATCGTCGTGACTAAAGTGGCTCGACCAGAACATTCCCCAGATGGGACGTTCGTGAACGAATCTCTTCGTAAACATGCGTCCATAGTCGTATATATAACGATTAGTTATCCGGCGGCCCATACAATATCGCATTAAGTCGTAGTCGGGCAATCGGTATTCATCCAACTTTGACTCCAGAGCCTTCAAAAAAGGTCGAAAATAGAAATCCATGGGCTTCTTCTGAAAGCCCGGCTTGCAATAACTAAAGTGATTCAGGGCGCTTGCGTCCTCCGCATAGCCTGTCAAATAGCTGGCATTTTTGAAGTACTTCCATATCATGGGAATTTTGTCAAAACAACCTTCTTTGTCTGTATCACATATTTGCTCCTTTGCCGTTTCGGCCGAATAGCCACTGAGCATCGCGAAGATATTGGGAAAAGAGTTGTCAGCAACCTGTTGAATATAAACCAAAATAAATTTTGTATATTCTCCTAAAATTTTATTGGGGATCTCACCTTATTGTATCCCTGCATCTCGTGCCATCCATCGCCCTGAAGGAACTTGAAGACCTTGGGCATTGTTCTTCTTAGATTTATCCGAGAAAGTGAGTCAATCCCGTACATTATAACACTGGGTTTTCGCACTCCATGTTTCTGCTTCATGTCCTTGGGAAGGGGCTGGTATTGCACAAATGTAAAGGCGTCCTTTTGAAGAAGTTTTGTTGGCTCGTCAGCTGTTCGGCACTCAACCACAATACCTTCAACATGTAAGGGTACTACATAGCCATCCGAGAAATACTTATTGGCCCTGAGCCTGGAAAAAAATAAAAATTATACATTTGTGGGTCTCAAAAAAAATAATATATAAAGAAGACCTTTAACTAGTTAAACATAACACGCATTATCCTACACTCATTAATTATTTTAAATAACTTACTTGTCAAAGGTGTCTGCCTCACTGCCGTACTCAACTTCCCGGTAAAAGCAATTGTACTCCACATCCGTGTGGTTAAGCAAGTCCATTGCAACTTCCTCATCAATTCGCAAAATATATCTCTGGATCTTTGGGTTATATTCCGTAGATACCAGATCGCTGTCATTGGTGCATTTTACCAGAGTCTGAGGCTTGTAAAACTCCATGACTTCTGCAGAGAAAGGATCGACATACGGAATTTCACATTTCGATGTTTTCACAAAGAATTTTTTAGTCTTTGGATTTTCTTCAACAGGTAAGTCGACTTCTTTGAGTCCTGATCCGTGGGTTGTAGGCAGTCGGATGGGTTCTGTCAATTCCAAATTCGAGAAATCACTTCGCCGTTGGATGAGGTAAACCATAAACCCCAGAAAGCAGCAGAAGGCAAAGACTTTGTATAAAGGATGGGTGGCTCGAAGTCGAGACTCCATGGTGTGCCGCCGACCTCGGAAAGAATAGAACTGAAACGGTTCGGTCGGAACTTTTGGGAAGATATGAATTAAAGCCGGAATGTCGAACTCTGGCACACGTAAATTTTCATCACACCTTTTTGTGTTAAGTCAGGTGCGGGAGTTGTTAAAATAAATGTAATTATTTATATTGGCGTGACAATGCCGAATTGACTCAATTGGGCGGTTTATTATTTTTGTAACTTTTTAAAATTCGTATTCCGTGACGCAAAGAGATGCAAACGGTCTTTTTTAATTTTTTTAATTAATTGTATGTAATATAAAATATTCAAAAATTATATATTTTTTAGTTCTGTGAGACAAATGCAATAAAGCTTCTGAATTTTATTTTTGACACAGACCGAATCGTTGCCGTACATATTGATGCGACTGATGAGTTCCACATTGACTTTCAGCTCCTTGCTGTCCTTGTTGTACAGGATTGTGGCAAAGAACTCGCCCAAGTTCTGATGAACCTGAAACTTGGAATGATAGTGCCGCAATCCAGTCTTCGTGTTCAGGTTTCCGTCCATATTGTCGACCCTCTCTTCGGTGGCATTCACAAACCTTAGCGTGAGATTGGCACACAGGTTCTGGAGACGATTCTGCCAAAGATACTGGTTTATGCGATTCACCACCATCTCCGCCATTCTCCAGTTCGAGGCGTTGTCGCGGACCTCCTCGTACCTATGGCACGTACAGTACTCCTCCTTAATGGCGGCCTCCGAGCAGCTGCGATTTTCGGGCAGTGGATAGAACAGGGACTGACATTTGGGGCAGTCGTACGACCAGGACACCTTGGAATCCTTCTGCATCTTAGCGATTCGGAGGATGTGCTTCAAGGTGTTGTACATGTCGAAGTTGGAGCTAAGGCGATTCTGATTCTGGGCCAGGGCTAGGGCATACTGGGGATATTTACTGCGGAACCACGGCGGCAAGTAGATAAACATCATGGGTTGTCGCTCCTCCAGAAAGGCTTCTTTCATCTGCATCAAAGGACCGAACCGGGCACCATGATCCGAGAAAAATATCATGATGGTATGCTCGAAGGCCCCATCTCTCTCGAAGTTCAAGAGATCAGTCAGAATTTTGTGCTCCATGCCTGAGAGCATGAAGGTGTCATCGTGACTGAAGTGATTAGACCAAAACATGCCCCAAATCGGGCGACTTGCCACAAAACGTTTCATGAACTGGCGGCAATAGTCAAAGATATAGCTATTGGCCAGTCTTCTACCAAGGCAGTACTTCATTTGACATCCTGGACAGCGAGTGGTGAGAGTATTATTCTCCAGGGCAGTAAGAAACGGTCGAAAATAATAATCCACGGGCTTCTTAGAAAAGCCATGCTTCGAATACGTAAAGGTGTTGGCCCCGGTCTCGTCCTCAGCATAGGCTGTCAAATAGCCGGTCCTCTTGAGTTCCTTCCAAATGAATGGAACATTGTCCAGGCACTTCGGGAGATCCGTATCGCAGATTTGTGTCTTTGCCGTTTCTGGCGAGAATCCGGTAAGCATGGCGAATATATTTGGAAACGAATTATCAGCCACCTGAAAGTACACAGAAAATTAAACAATAAAGTGTCAACACTGCGTATGAGCAATACGTAAAAGAAATACAAATAAACTTTTTATTTTTATCTTTTACCTTATTATAGCCCTTCATTTCGTACCAGCCTGGAGATTTAAGAAACTCAAATATCATTGGCATTGTTCGACGCAAATTTGTGCGGGATACTGTATCGATTCCATACATAATAATACTTGGCTTACGATGGGATCCAATTTTTTTGAACTTTTTTGGAGGTTGAACTAAAACAAAGGCATCCTTTTGCAGGACTTTAGTTTCGTCTGCTGTTCTACACTCCACCAACATGCCCGCTACGTCATAGGGTACTATATAATCCTGATTAAAACGTGTTTTATTTCCTAGACTATTAATAAACCAATTTATGTTACAAAATTCTTTTTTATTTAAATCATGAAATATTCCCAATTACCTATCATAGACATCAGCATGTTTGCCATAAACAATTTTCTGATAAAAACAGGCGACTGCATTCTCGTTCAACTCTATCATTTGATGAACTACTTCCTCATTTATGTGAAGAACATATTTTTTCATGAACTCATCGTAGAGAACCGTGACCAGATCACTCTCATTTGTACAGGGTATAAATTGAAAACGCTTATAAACTTTCATCACCTCGTCATTGAAGGGATTCACATAAGGCATTTGACATCTTCCTGAATTCACATAGTATTGTTCCTTTTCCTTAATAATCTTTTGTTCATTACCCCTTGTATTTATATTATTCCACATTATTATTAGAAAAAAAATTAAACAACACCAGAGACATCTTTTCACAGGAGTATAAACAAACCGCATCATTATAATATTTACTCCAAACTAAAGGAACGTTTAGTTGAAAATTTCACTTATAAATAGCTTGCGAAGTAAACCGAAAAAAATTCATTTCATGGTGAGTTTAATAATTGTTTTCTTTTTAAATAAAAATATAACATACAAATGCTCTTCTTAAATTATATTAAGATAATTATTTTAATTTTGAACTATAATAGATTTATATTTTTTTAGTTGTTTGGTTTCTTCAAAGCACTTTAATAAACTATTCGTTTTATTCAGTAACTCACAATAGTATAGACACCCAGTATAATACAGTATTCAGTATAAATTATTTGTGATAAGCCATGAAATCAAGACTTTCATGGATCGAACTTTAGTCATCTGAAAAATGAAACAAAGTAACAAGCAGCCAAGAAACGTACAGTCTTTGGATTTCTCAGATCCCCCGAAGAATTCTTTGCTCTAACATTTGAAAAAATTGAAATAGACAAGTGCACATCCAGTATAATCCAGGTTGGTTGAAAAATTATTTTTTGGATTAAGAAACCTACTCAAAAAAGCGAAAAAAAAATGAGGAAAAGAAATTACAAATGTAGGTAAGCCTAGATGATGCAAAGCGAAAATTGGAGACTGATAACATATTACTATATATGTATGTATGATATTCCTTATATTGAAATGGCGGAAAATAGCCCTCAAAATTGAAATTATCTCGGTACAAACTTTTTAGTCTAAAATACATTTTTATTAGACTCTGGTTTGTTACAGTTTATACTTCTCACAATGAGGTTGTGTGGCACGGGTGTTATGTTGGTTTTTACTATTTTGATTTTAACTTTGGGCACTCAAGCCCAGAAAACCAAAAGGACTAGAAAGCCTCTTTTTAAACAGTTTACGTCTAAAAGCACTACAGAAGCTACCACAATAACAAGCCCTATTCCTCCTGATATTCCTCTTCCCAAGAATACAATGCCTACAACTCCAACTCCCACAACTTCAACTCCTACAACTACACCTTCTACAACTACACCTTCTACAACTACACCTTCTACAACTACAACTCCTACAACCACAACTCCTCCATATCTGAATGATACGACAGATATAATTAGAGACAATATTGTTAGCTACACCTACGATATGAAAAAGCAAGCCAATATTATGCATTTGAGTCGATTTGCTGCCAATCATAGTTTTTATCGGCTAACAAACCATTCCCTGGAGGAACATTTCAGTTGCGGCTATAAAACAATTTCCAAGAACTCACAAGGAAGATATGAAAAGAATAGTATCAAGTAGGTAACCAAGTAAAGAGACAACTAATATCTAAATGATATACTTTTCACAGCAAAGAAATTGAGATTCCCATAACAAATGGAGCTGCACTACCCTCCAATACTGAGGCGATAATTACAAGTTGTAGAACCTCAAAGGGCAAAGTGCTTCAAATAGATCCACAGACCTTTGTAAATTTGAAAAATCAAACTAAACGGCAGACCTCTAAAAAAAAACGACCTAATGTTTTGATGATCGGTTTCAATGGAATGACCCAGACAATGTTTTCATCTGCTTTTAAGGAAATTAATTTGGAACGCTGGTTTAAACTTCAAAAGTTCAGAAGAATTGGCGAAAACTATACCTATAATTTGATGGCATTAGCCTCGGGATATAGTCCCAGTGCCATTACCAATTTAGAGTCCACGGCCTCTGTACCTTTTATTTGGAAACAATACGCAAGCCAGGGTTATGTAACGGCCTTAGGAGAGGACATTTCCTTCATCAGAGACTTGTCTTTGGATTTTAAAGAACAACCCGTGGACTACTACCTCAGGCCCTTCTTGCAAGGAATTGCCGACAGTGTGGAGCTACGGCATAACACTCCGGGTATAGAGAAATCACTAACATCAGACTATGTCTTGGACTATGGTGAGAAGCTCTTAAAGATGTATGTCAACAGCTCGCAGCCATTTTTCGGGCTCTTGTGGACTAACACTTCCACCGAAAAAGCGAAAGAAAACAATTTTGTGGACTACTTTAAACGATTTGAAAAGCTAGGTCTGTCCAAGAATACAATCGTGATATTATTCAGTGATCATGTATGCAGGCCTTTTCTTAATATCCGTTTACCGGATTGGTTTAGGAAGAAATATCCAACTAAGATTCGTAATCTGGCTGTGAATAACAATCGTCTTAGTTCCTCCCACGACATGTATTTAACTCTTCAGCATATTCTCGAACTGGGAAAAGATAGTCCCAAGAAATTGAGTAAAATTGCCAGCTGCCCCAACTGTAAGTCACTTTTCGAAGAGATACCAAAAAATCGAACCTGTCAGTCATCTAGTCAAAGTGAAAATTATTGCGAGTGTGCCGACTATATGAAGCTATCTGCAAAAGACGCCCATCAATTACCTCTGGGAATGCTATTGGTTGAAAGTCTAAATCAATATCTTGACCAAAACAAATTACTAGATATTTGTGAGGAGTTCACTCTTAACAGTGTGGATTCCGTATACGAAAGAAAATCCTATTATAGATCACGTCTGCGCAGTTACAGAGTGCGCTTTCTAACCCAACCACATATGGCCAGTTTTTTGGCCACAGTTTATTACAATCTGATACCGCAGACACTTTTTAACGTGAATGTTTCGTCGTTTTTACGTTTAAACCGATATGTGGATCAATCAAAGTGTTTAATCGACGATGAGAAAAGAAGGTTTTGTATTTGTCGAAAGGAAAAGGCAGAAAGATCTCTTCGGAAAGATCGTAAACCCATCAGTAATGTTACATTAGAGGCGAAAGTCTCAGCTCCGAATAGAAACATCTCCATTTTAATAGATAACCTTCTGGAAAAAGTTGAGGAACTTGAAAAAAGGAGTCTTCTTGCACGGAAATTAATCAAAGAGGAAATCCTAAGCATAAAGAAACTATTGGCCACATCCCAGGCTCCGCCAAGTTAACATTTCTAGCACCCAACACCACGGTATCTCCGTAAAATCTCCTGTCAATGTGCATTTTAGCCTGCACTTTTAGGGGAGCGAAACTTTCCACGTAACCAATAAAAAAAACAATTAAACTGGAATCTTATCTAATAAAAACTGATATAAATCCGTCATTTACTTGATGTCTTACCAGGGATTTTGATCTTATTGCGGTTGCGGCAATTAACATTTTTATCTTGTTCCCTGTTTGAGTTGACAAGTAACAGACACCTAACTGTTTGTATATCTGAAAGATAGCGAAACCATGAATCAACTTTGGGTATAGCATCGTCCAGTAAAGACTAGACAAAAAGTATACTTTATTTCAGAGAAATATTTTTATCGGTGGCACTCTTTTAAATTAGTTTTCCATCCCTAACACAGTTGCAATTTTAACTTCCGCTCGTCCGTTTACATCAGACATACTGACACCCTTTTTCCATTTAATACCAATCGACTCTCTGTTGTCAACTAAAAAAGGTTTTTTTTTTGTAATGTTTGGCTAGATATAGGAACAAACCGAAGGCTCACGCGACACAACCGGGTATCACAACTAGCAGCTTATCAATTGGCGGCTGAATGTTCGGTAGACTTTATAACACTGTTTACTAATTCATTATGATAATAGGCCCGACACCGGCTATCAGTATCAGCTCAGATGAAAGAGCTCAGGCGTCATCAGGCGTCGTTATCCCAGGCCACAGAGTATATATTAAATATAAGTAAAAGTCGGTCGGTGGGTGGCTCCAGCCCGATTAGTATTATACTTTCGTCGTTAGTTCGTCTCGATTACTTGCCAGCTACGGATGTGCTCCAGAACCAGGGGACCCCACCCTAAACCAAACTTTCAAAATGCCAAAGAAAAATATGTTCAAGCGGGCCACCTCGATAAGTCCCGGTCAATTGCATTATTATCACACGGACTTCTATTACTCGATGCCGGACTTGAGTAGTGAGTTTATTTTTAAAAAGTGCACCTAAATATAAACCTTTTGATGAGGGAATAATAGTTAATATACATAGTTTTCATATTCTTTAAAGTTTAAACACAAAATGATAAAGTCAGAATGAAAAATATTTTTTCAATGGTAATAATCTTTATTTTATAAAAATATTCTGAGATAAAAATATTTATTCAGCTGATTATAAAATGTCTTCTCACGGCTGCATATAATTTTAGGGGGAATATTTTTATAATGGGGGTTTCACTTTCTTGTTGATAAAAATTTAACGTCACTTAAACAAATATTTTATCTTCTTAGCTAATTATTATCTTAGTCTCAAAGAATTCTATTGCTTGCTATAACTTTTTAACTGAAGCTATTTGTAGAGGAAAAATTCCCATCAATAAGAAAATTAAGAAAATATAACGAATATCACCATCAGGAACATCTTTGACACTAATATTATAAGGTCCCTTTCAAAAATCTTGGAAAATGCATGGAAGTGAATATGTGACCACCGGGAAGCCACATCTTCGCCAATATTCGTCCGATTCTTAAGGGGAATACCTTAAATGATTCATGGATCGATTCTCTTTAAATCTGCATCAAAATCTAAGAACAAAATATTTTTTAGATTTTGTGTCAAATTTCCTGGACGATCCCCTTCAAAAATGGGGAAAGTGCTTGAAGGCACAATATGGCCCACGGTGATGGCTGCATCTTTGCCAATAGTCATCCGATTCTTGAGCGGAATACCTTAAACGATTTGTAGATCGATACTCTTTTAATCTGCATCAAAATCTAAGAACAAAATATTTTTTAGATTTTTTGTCAAATTTCCTGGACGATCCCCTTCAAAAATGGAAAAAGTGCTAGAAGGCACAATATGGCCCACAGCGATGGCTGTATCTTTGCTAATAGTCATCCGATTCTTGAGCGGAATACCTTAAACGATTTGTAGATCGATACTCTTTTAATCTGCATCAAAATCTAAGAACAAAATATTTTTTAGATTTTTTGTCAAATTTCCTGGACGATCCCCTTCAAAAATGGAAAAAGTGCTAGAAGGCACAATATGGCCCACAGCGATGGCTGTATCTTTGCTAATAGTCATCCGATTCTTGAGCGGAATACCTTAAACGATTTGTGGATCGATTCGCTTTTAATCTGCATCAAAATCTAAGAACAAAATATTTTTAGATTTTTGTCAAATTTCCTGGACGATTCCCTTCAAAAATGGGGAAAGTGCTTGGAGGCACAATATGGCCCACAGCGATGGCTGATTCTTTGCCAATAGTCATCCGATTCTTGAACGGAATACCTTTAACGATTTGTGGATCGATTCTCTTTTAATCTGCATCAAAATCTAAGAACAAAATATTTTTTAGATTTTTTGTCAAATTTCCTGGACGATTCCCTTAAAAAATGGGGAAAGTGCTTGGAGGCACAATACGGCCCACAGCGATGGCTGATTCTTTGCCAATAGTCATCCGATTCTTGAGCGGAATACCTTAAACGATTTGTGGATCGATTCTCTTTTAATCTGCATCAAAATCTAAGAACAAAATATTTTTTAGATTTTTTGTCAAATTTCCTGGACGATCCCCTTCAAAAATGGGGAAAGTGCTTGAAGGCACAATATGGCCCACAGCGATGGCTGCATCTTTGCCAATAGTCATCCGATTCTTGAACGGAATACCTTAAACGATTTGTGGATCGATTCGCTTTTAATCTGCATCAAAATCTAAGAACAAAATATTTTTTAGATTTTTTGTCAAATTTCCTGGACGATTCCCTTAAAAAATGGGGAAAGTGCTTGGAGGCACAATATGGCCCACAGCGATGGCTGATTCTTTGCCAATAGTCATCCGATTCTTGAGCGGAATACCTTAAACGATTTGTGGATCGATTCTCTGTTAATCTGCATCAAAATCTAAGAACAAAATATTTTTTAGATTTTTTGTCAAATTTCCTGGACGATCCCCTTCAAAAATGGGGAAAGTGCTTGAAGGCACAATATGGCCCACAGCGATGGCTGCATCTTTGCCAATAGTCATCCGATTCTTGAACGGAATACCTTAAACGATTTGTGGATCGATTCGCTTTTAATCTGCATCAAAATCTAAGAACAAAATATTTTTTAGATTTTTGTCAAATTTCCTGGACGATTCCCTTAAAAAATGGGGAAAGTGCTTGGAGGCACAATACGGCCCACAGCGATGGCTGATTCTTTGCCAATAGTCATCCGATTCTTGAGCGGAATACCTTAAACGATTTGTGGATCGATTCTCTTTTAATCTGCATCAAAATCTAAGAACAAAATATTTTTTAGATTTTTTGTCAAATTTCCTGGACGATTCCCTTAAAAAATGGGGAAAGTGCTTGGAGGCACAATACGGCCCACAGCGATGGCTGATTCTTTGCCAATAGTCATCCGATTCTTGAGCGGAATACCTTAAACGATTTGTGGATCGATTCTCTTTTAATCTGCATCAAAATCTAAGAACAAAATATTTTTTAGATTTTTTGTCAAATTTCCTGGACGATCCCCTTCAAAAATGGGGAAAGTGCTTGAAGGCACAATATGGCCCACAGCGATGGCTGCATCTTTGCCAATAGTCATCCGATTCTTGAACGGAATACCTTAAACGATTTGTGGATCGATTCGCTTTTAATCTGCATCAAAATCTAAGAACAAAATATTTTTTAGATTTTTGTCAAATTTCCTGGACGATTCCCTTAAAAAATGGGGAAAGTGCTTGGAGGCACAATATGACCCACAGCGATGGCTGATTCTTTGCCAATAGTCATCCGATTCTTGAGCGGAATACCTTAAACGATTTGTGGATCGATTCTCTGTTAATCTGCATCAAAATCTAAGAACAAAATATTTTTTAGATTTTTTGTCAAATTTCCTGGACGACCCCCTTCAAAAATGGGGCAAGTGCTTGAAGGCACAATATGGCCCACAGCGATGGCTGCATCTTTGCCAATAGTCATCCGATTCTTGAACGGAATACCTTTAACGATTTGTGGATCGATTCTCTTTTAATCTGCATCAAAATCTAAGAACAAAATATTTTTAGATTTTTTGTCAAATTTCCTGGACGATCCCCTTCAAAAATGGGGAAAGTGCTTGAAGGCACAATATGGCCCACAGCGATGGCTGCATCTTTGCTAATAGTCATCCGATTCTTGAGCGGAATACCTTAAACGATTTGTGGATCGATTCGCTTTTAATCTGCATCAAAATCTAAGAACAAAAAATTTTTTAGATTTTTTGTCAAATTTCCTGGACGATTCCCTTCAAAAATGGGGAAAGTGCTTGGAGGCACAATATGGCCCACAGCGATGGCTGTATCTTTGCCAATAGTCATCCGATTCTTGAGCGGAATACCTTAAACGATTTGTGGATCGATTCTCTGTTAATCTGCATCAAAATCTAAGAACAAAATATTTTTTAGATTTTTTGTCAAATTTCCTGGACGACCCCCTTCAAAAATGGGGCAAGTGCTTGAAGGCACAATATGGCCCACAGCGATAGCTGCATCTTTGCCAATAGTCATCCGATTCTTGAACGGAATACCTTTAACGATTTGTGGATCGATTCTCTTTTAATCTGCATCAAAATCTAAGAACAAAATATTTTTTAGATTTTTTGTCAAATTTCCTGGACGATCCCCTTCAAAAATGGGGAAAGTGCTTGGAAGCACAATATGGCCCACAGCGATGGCTATATCTTTGCCACTTCACATCCGATTCCTGAACGGAATACATTAAATGATAAATGGCTATATCTTGAACAAAATCTATCCAACTAATGGCCAAGGTGGTAGCCCTTTTGTTAGCCAAGTTTTTAACCTAACAAAACGATTCAATCGCAGCCAACTTCGCTTCAAAACAAAATACGGGACTCTCTTAAAATGTCGCGTTCTCTCCGCCGTGTTGTGAGTTTTCCGAGGTTTTCCGCTCTCAAAATCACTTATTCGCTCTCGCCTGAGAGCCAGTGAGAGCGCATTGCGCTATCTTTATTTGTTTGGGGTTAAAATTTTCTCAGATACTTCGTATCTCGCAGCTACTTTGTTTCAGTTAGCTCTGCGAAGCGCTTTGTTTCTGCCGTCGCGTCGAGCGAATAATTTCGTAATAATACTCTTAACTGATAAACAAATATTACAGCCAACTAAAATTAGTGGAATAGTTACTAGTTTATTGGAATATTTAATAAAAAACTGTTTATAATTTGATTAAAATTGTAAATACTTCTGACAAAGAAAGAAATGCGGAAGCAAAGTGAACCTTAGACGAGACAGCGAGAGAAAAGACACCCAGCCTGAGGAGAGAGAGTGCAGGCAGGCAACAACAATTGTTGATTAAAATATGTGTCAAAATAGAACAACAAATCGCTGAAGAAACCCGTGGACTATATTGATAATACGAAATCATGTGAATATGCACGTGTGATTTGGGTTTTTCATCGGTGCATCCTTTTCATTTTGGTTATTTCTATAATAAAATGCTCACCTAAGCTCATTAGATAGCAAATAGAAATTGTAACAGCCGACAGAAGCAAGTTCAACTGAAAAGCAGACAACAGAATCGCCAACTGCATGTGAAATCTAAATAAGACACACACTTGTCACCACCTCTTGACGTCAGCTGCGACAATAATACCTAGTGTAAATAAAAGAAAAACGGTGAAAATCGTGTAAGTGCCCAATACCTGAAACAAAAGCTACAATTAAACCCTACATGTGTAAATTTAATTAAATTCCCACGCACCAGAAATCGAACAAAAGCAAACAAAAGACAAAAATAGTGTTTCTACAGGTGTTAGAAGTTTGGTTTTTCGAAAAATATCCAAATATTTATGTTCCATATTTCAAACCTCAAAAAAAAACCAGCTTAGAAAATTTCAAGGCCTTTTTATACCAAAACTTAAGACAAAAAAAACTGGTAACAACAGGTTTCTTTACTATTCAAATGGCCAATGAAACTAAAGAGAGAAATATTCAATTGGCAACAAAAGTATGCAGAAAGAAAATTCAAAATAATACCCGACCTATGGCATTATTTGAGGCCATCGGCGTGGGTCTTTGTCATGGGGAAGACCAGGAAAAACACAAGGGAAAATCGAAACAATGAAAGTCATATATAGAGATTAAATAAGTCATTAGTTTACTGCCATTAAAAGTCTATTAAATCAAAGCATTATCACTTCTTGAAAGTTATTTATGGAGCTCTTATCAATGACATAAAATTAAAAATAATAAAGAAACCAATAGAGATTATTTTGCCAACTTTAATAAATGAGAAATTATTAAAGAAATCAGAGGAAATTTTTTTATGATTACTTTATCTTATTTCCGCAATGTACACCCACACTATCATCCTCTTGGTACATTTTCTGTTCATAATCTAAGAATGGAATGGTTTTTATGATATTGTTTATAGTCCAAAGCACCACATATCAGTCCGGTTCGAAAAGCACTCGACAAAAACGTGACAAAACGAAAAAAAAAATAAATACTTTCTCGTGTTTACCATAAATATGTAGTGGAATATAGTAAATTATATATACATATAGTACCTCTGATGCCAAGCTGCCCATTGGCGTTGATAACATCTGACTAATATTAACAGCATTTTGATGATGGAAAAAAGGCTTATCAGCATTGACATCAATATGCTGTTGGTAATTAGCGACGTTCCTTGATAAGCTTCCATGTGATGGGAAATATAATTTGTGCTCAATATTGAATTTATACAATATACCATACAAGTCATCCAAGTCATTAAAGGCAATAAAGGTATAAAAATAAAAAAAAAAGGTTGGGTAATTTTTTGACAAAAAGGTGCTTAAATTGTGAATCACTAGTTGATAGGCTTTATATCCCAAGTTCTTATTTATTTATTGCTTTGAATTCAAAGGCCTTAACTAATTCCGGCCCTGTTCTTATTTTAGCTAGTTACCAATGTTAGGAAAATCAATTTTTTTTAGCAAACCCATCAGGTAAACTGAAATGATCCGTAGTATTGGATTGCTAAATATCAATCAAACAGAGTCTGTCACTTGCCGACTGACCCATCGATCTGAGCCTGCCAATTGAATCTTGTGAATAGCTTAGTTATACACTCGAACAATATCAATATTCGTGTCGGTTTGTTGATACAATCTCGCCTCTCACAAACACTCGTTCACCATTCAGATAAAAGCAATGACAGGGGGTGGTGGCAGGCGGTAGGCGTGAAAATCGACAGAGACGGAGACGAAGACGGAGGCCGACTTGCCAGTCCCAGTCCCAGTCCGAGTCGGCCAGACTAATTTGATAATCGCACAATCAAGGCAGTATACAACGCACCCGGCTAGCAATCAGACGTATTCGCCTTATAATTTGTTATTTAGTTCAGTGCTTTGAAAATCCTTGGTAGCCAAGATGCAGCCCTTGACGGAATATCACTTTGAAGGTGCCTAGTTGTAACCAAAAGGGAAAACAAAACTACTTGCCAGATAATAATCTTTATCATTTTTGTTTTATTTATTCTCCAGAGTCCCGCAAAATGCACGGCGTGAAGCGGGTTCTTATCTTCTGCCTGATGATTGTGATTTTGCCGGCCATCCTGATTATAATGCCACTTCATTTACGCAAGACCGTCTTCGCGGATGTCATCTATCCCATGGCCGAGTCGGATATCATAGAGATCCGAGCCGGAATCTCCTCCATTTTCTGTTCGAAGCACACCCTCCGGATGAGTTCCAATTTCAATGCCTTTCAGTTGCGCAACAAGCCGGAAATCTCCACGAATCGGAAGCACATCCGGCTAAAGAAATCGATGATCCTGCCGGACGATACCTTGGAGTATTGGGGCTTCTTTCTGCTGGCGGGAGCCAAGGTGCGGGTAAAGTTCTGCTCCCGTTTTGATGGGTCTCGCGTCATGATCGTGAGGGGCCAGAGGGAGTTGAAACTTTGCGGCCTCACCGATCACAATAAGAACAAAAAGGATGCCAAGTTCGTCAAAGGACACGAGGACCAGGTCCAAGTGTTTTTCGAGGACAATGTGGAGATCACCGAGGAAAAGAACAATCAGGACGTTATGATGGAGCACGAGAATCACGGTGGCGAGGACTTGAGTGAGGGGCCCCACTTAAATTTGCTTCTTAAGCCTGCCTTAAACCAATCCGAGGAAGAACCGGAGCCCAAGGGTTTTAGGAAGAAACTACAAAAGGGCGGTCTGCATCATCAGGATCACAACTTTGCATCCCACCACGCTGAGCACATTCTTAATGCACACCGTCATGGAAATGACTCATCCCACCATCATGGATCCAAGGCTCCTGATCACAAGTCCAATGAAAGCGTCGACCCAAGCGACGCATCTCACAAACAACGACTTAAAAGACACAATAATGGTATTAAGAAACACCAGAAGAGGCAGGAGCTCTACGAGAAACTTTATAAAAGATCGAAGCGGGAAAATGTTTACGACAGAAAGTACATACACGGAGGAAATGCCGTCAATTTCACCCAAACCGATGAGTCCAATTCGGTTTCTAGCTTCGAGACAGGTCTGAACGATTGCTTCGAGGGCAACATCCTGTTGCAGGAGTTCTTCAAGCCAAGCAACGAGTGCACGAATCCCCACAAAATGGACTTCTCGGCAAACACAAGTGCGGTGGTCCTGCACAGTGTGATCGAAGATGGCTACTACTACTACCTCTTTTACAGCGACAATGACTACGTCCGGAACGAGCTCCACGCCGTATTCGATATATACAAGCCAACCTATCAATACTCCAATCTTACCGAGTCGCAGAGCTGCCTCAACACCACCAACTGCACCTTCAGCATCAGTTTCCTGTCGGACGAGATCGTGGTGGTGGAGGTGCCCACGCGGGATGGAATCGAGCACGAGGAGGATGACATCACCAACCTGATATCCACCTGCCATCCTCGAAGTGAGATCTATGCCCTCTTCCCCATAACTGTGCTGGTGCTGATCCTGTGCTGCTCCTTCCTGTAAACCCTCTCAAATCACCCTTTTCCGTTTCCGGTGCAGTGTCGGCGAAGTGGCGGAGTCTTGTGATATTTATAGTGAGGCATCTGGGTGATATACTCGCCACTGTGAGTGCTTATTGTGGCAAAGTGATGGTTGGCCCCAAAACGAGAGCTTATCAAGTAGCCATAGTATCCAATATCGATTATACACACGCAATGAACAGTCTGAAAATAATTGTTACTTAACAAACCACTGAATATTATTTGAAACAATCGCAGTGGTAATTGTGAAGTTTTAAAACGAACATTTAGCCTAAGAAGCAAGCATTTGAAAAATTATTAGCTCTTAGTTCTAGTGGTATAAGAATCGTATGAATTGTATATAATATACAAGCCAAATCTTAACTAAGTAGTCTTAAGGTATAGTACTTATTTTTTAAATTCCTAAATCATCTCATTGAACAATATTATTAGACTTTACGAGTATCTGTCCTTTAAATTCCATTTCTAACCTGTGAAATTTCTTTCCATCCGTAAATCTATTTCAAAAATATTCCATATGCCATTGAAGTCTTGTTTTCTTTTTAAATAAATTGCATAAATAAAACTAGTAGACAGGCAGGCTTTTATTTAGTTCCCCTCTGCTATTACCAACTCTGACATTCTGCCCTCGGGCAATAGAAAAGAGTAGAATATTTCCTGCCGGCTCCAATTTCAAAGCAAAAAACAATTTTGTTGATTTTTGTTATTTTTTATTAATTCACACAAAAGTCAGCTAGTCAATGCTTATTTGCTTTGTGTGCGTTTGTGAGTGGCCTGCTATTTTATTTTCTGATTTGGCCACGGGGATAATGCAAATATTTGGCCAAAATGTCTGCCCGATGTTGGCATATTAAATAAATGGAAAATAACATTGTCATCAAGAATAAACACAATTTCTTTTCACTCATTATTCACATTAATATGGATAAGTGTCAATCAAGTGCCTTGGAATTTTTTATTAAGGTAGAATATTAATAAATGATAAATTGTAAAATAAATGAATATGTCAAATAACTAAATGGTTTTGTGTTTTGAATCAAAGGTGAATTATTGTATGGGACTATATTATTTTTATTATTTCTTACAGAGTAACATAATATGTAAAAACATTTAAGATTTTTGGTATTTTTTTTTAAATTTTGATATTTATTTATGTTTTGTGGCCTACTTAAAGGCTTAAAAATTATTTCAAACAAATTTAGTTTTAAAGATACTTTGGGTCTGATGTTAATTGTACTTATGCATATGCTATATTTCATATAAAGCTTAAATGGTAAAAAAAAGGGAATATACTTCATATTAAAATTATTATATTATTTTACTTTTTTTTATAAAATATTTGTATGTATATTTTAATAACTATAATATTTTGTATTTCAGCTAAGCAGCAATAGCCTTCAAGCCCTTCAAAATATAAAATCTATTGCCTACTTTGAGGCATTTTGTGAAATGCCTTTCGGTTAACCAAATCCAAAAGATATTTTACCAAAACTCTCTTGGTTGTTGAATTGGCTGATTTTCAAAAATTTAGCGGCTAAAATTAGCCACAAAAAATAAGTGTGAGCTAAATATATTTCAGACTTAATTTGTTTTCAAAATTAGCCGCGAAGCAGGATAATTTTATTTTATGCAACCTTGAACATTAACTTATGAAAGCATTTCTCTTTATACCGTTTCTGCGTTGTATTTTTATGACTTGAAAAAAAGTTAATATTGACAAACATGTTTCCACCTTTGTTGACCACATCGATGTGAAGTCACTTCGAACTAATTGAATTGAAAAAAAAAGTTGTCTTATCAAGATTGTGGCGCTGGTTTGTACACACTGTTACTGGTAGTCGATAATATCAAATGGGAATGCTTCTAAATGAAATATACACCAGCAATTAAACTTTTTAAACTGCATGACTACCTACCGGACTAACCACAATGTCTTCATAGACCTGGCTGATCAAAAATTCAAATTCAAGGCTGGTAAATGCGTTGCAAATATAATAACACCCTATTTACGATTACGTAAGTATGGGCTTAACCAGTTTTCGTTATCAATGATGACACCCCTTGAATATATTGATATATGATATGGTCAATGAGTTGATATCATAATTGCTGGTTAAAAATGTTACGTGAAGTTTTGTTTAAATGTAATTTAAAATATTTTAAAAATAAATGGGTTTAATATTCTCGTAAAAACTAAGAGAGATCATGATCGTGAACTTCAACCCCTAAAAACAACCCCTAGCCTAGACAGTATATATTTCCCAACAGCTGTTTTTGAGGCTCTCCCAAGACACTAATGAGAGGTAAGAGGAAAGTATAACTCATGAGATGTTAAAATTTAAATGCTTTTGAACAAGATCTCAAAATTTCTTTTTATAAATATTCATCAGCTTAACATAAGCATTTATTTATAGGTATGTTTCAAAAGCAATCTTATCAATCTCTTCTCTTGCGGGTTATCGAATTTAATTTTGTATATTAAATAAACATTAAAATATAATTGAATATATTTTTTGGCAGTGCATTGAATGTACCAATTTCATTTATTTATTTTTCTGGTTTATTTTATTTTTTATTTTAAGATTTCTTTAAATATGTCCAAATAAATCTCTCCCTCTTATCATAAATACTTAGGCATTTTCCCCCATTTAAGTTTTATCACCGCTCTCCGCTCTTGTTAGCCGGCTCTTGTTGCCGGCATTTTTAGTTGCTAGTATTAAAGTTAGTCTCTTCCTCTCTCTCTCTCAGAAGCGGCTGCGCGGAGGAGAACACGCTGGAACAGCTCTCAGTTGGAGAATTTGCGGTGAGAAAGTTTTTGTTGTTTGCTCGCCGTCGCCGCGTTCGGACGTCTTCAATTATACGCTCGTAGCCATCGGACGGGGCGGAAAAAAAGTTTAATTAAACATTTTGAGTACCTCGATTAAAACTATTTCAATTGCTTGAATGACGCGCCAGGCAATTATCAGTGGCGGAAAAACGTGAGTGAGTCGCTGGCATCTAGAAGCGCAATTCGGGAGGGTCCTGCGGCTGGGAAAACATGCCAGAGATTGTGCAAAAAATCAATTTGTAAGTTGGGTCGACGCGGCCGAAGTGATACTTCAATGAAAACTTACATGAAAATTAAGTGAAACGCAAAATAATTTGGTCAGCAGAAATATTGCATTTTTGTGTCAAAACAAAATACAAACAAAATAACAGAAACGAATGAGAATAAAGCGCAAGAGGCAGCTGCACGCGAGGAAATAAAAAATAAGCTTGCGATGAGCAAAAATGCTTTTTGGCACTGGGAGAGCAACCAAACAAAATGAAATAAAACAAGTTTAACGGCGAGCAAAAAAATAATTGGTAAATAATCCAACTGGAGCGCATGTGAGAAAGGAAGTGGAAGGATATAGGCGGCCTGAAATGCCCCTACCAAAAATATAAAAAAAAGCATTCAAAAAGTTATAAAAAATTTATAACAAAAATTTTAATATAATAAATAAAAAACAAATAATATCCTTAAAATGCAGTGTGTTCCGTATTCGTTAATCGGTTATCCTGACAGTTGTTGTTATTTTTAATACCCTGACATTCCGTGCAGGCATCTGCCTCTCCTTTACTCTCTCGTTTCCATTCGGCGGCTCTCTCAGCCGTCATTTCCGCTGTTTTCTGTCGCATTATGTGCTCAGTAACGCTCATACGCCCCTCTATCCCACACCCGACCCACCATGGCAACCGGGGGTGGATTGTCTGCATCCAAATGCATTTACTTTAATTTATTTGTGGGTCCACCATCCATGGGGGCGTCTCCTCCGCGCGGCTCCCTCATTTCGCTACATGGCGGCCCCAGACTGTGAAGCACATGTGATTGTCGGACGCTCCTCTGATTAGCGTGGCTCATTGTTGTTGCTCCTAATTCGTATGTAGATTGCACCCATGATTGATATGCAACTTCAGTGGCACTGATAACGAAGGCACACTGCTTTCTCCCGCCAGCTGATGCATCCATTACTGCTCGAAGATTACTTAGCTTTAATACACATTTTAGGGCTTAATCATTTTCCCATAGTTATCACTATGTAAACATTTGCATATCTCTGCTAAAAAAAAAAACAAATATAGTCTGAACAAATATTAATTCCGACAGAAAATAATTAAAGTAAACAGCTACCGCATTTTCAAGTTTTTAAAACTACAAAATAGTTATTAAAAGTTATTATCTAAATACTAGATACTAGACAAGTACTATTATTCCACACAATAAACATTAGGTCGTCAAGTAGATTAATTTTTGTCCAGCCCACAAATAGGGTATTAAACTGTCGGACCACTTGACCCCTCGGCAGCGACTTGTCGCATTCATTATCATTCAATTAAAGCAGTACTTGAACATGACAGTAGAGCGTTGATTTCTGCTGGAGAAGTCTTCATACTGGCTCGTATCTCAAGTGCAGTTGCAATCTTAAGCGCCCGTCAGTTTGGCTGTAATGTTGGCAATTCAGAGTGTAAAATTTTAATCAACCGAGTGTTATTCGAGTCACACTTAATTTTGGGTCAACGCGCCACTTTGCCTAGCATTCTTATTTAAATGGAATTCCCCCAAGGGCTTAATAAACAATAAATTTCGTTGCTGCTTCAGAACAAACCTAGATATCTTTCATCAATCAGTCGCAAATTATCTGTTGCCAATTTCTAATTCAAAATTGATTATGAATCGTTAACCAATCAATCAAATCAAAGGTTTTGTTTGCTCTGTTTTTGTCATTTTACTGTTTATATAAGAATGACTAACAAATTTAGCTAGATTCTTGATGATTATTTAAACTGAAAATTAAACAACTTTAACTACATTTTTTTTAGTAGCTTTGCATATTCAAATTATAATCTTTGATTTCATAAGGGTGTGACTCAGAAAGTTTTTAAGCGGAATTGAGTTTCGTATGTACATATAGTGAATATTTATTTATATGTATATTTGATAAGAAATTCTTATAAATTTAGTGAAAAAAACAAACCAAAGAAGGGCATTTCTCGATCAAGAATTATACCCGGTACTATATACTAGCATAATGTTGATGCATACTTTTGAGTGCTTCAGTTTAAGGTACTGAAAAAAAAATGTCAGTTTACATTTTTGAAAGCAAACATTGGGGTCCCCACCCACATGTATGGTTTTCTATTCTCACGTTTTTTATTCGTGTCCATCGGCAATTAAGTTCAGTTTATGACAGTATGGTGCTATGCTTGAGGGTCTCATCAAAGTCCTTGACCTGGCCAACGGATATCCTTATTGAAAACAAGCTGTTTCGCCTCCCACATTTAAAAATAAACTACTATTCCATCCTCCTCTTGGTAAACTAGAAGAAAAACAGATAAGGGTATGATATCAGAAAGATTTCGAAACGGAAATGAGCTGAGAATATAAGTTA